TGACCGCTACTGTTTCTCGTCGCAGGTCCTGAAAATAAGACAAAACCAAGACAACAGAAAAAAGCCACAGCAGCTCCTCCTATATCAAGTATATATTTTGATCTGTCACAGAAATTGTCCATACCTATACCATGCACACATGACGTGAACTTAATAAAATCAGATCGTCTCCTGTAAAGAACTGCTAATTTACTCTATCCATGCAATTCTACCCTCAAACTGGGCTCTCTGCTCACAGATTCGTATCTCAGCATTTGAAACTCACATGCGCTTGCTCAAATTATCATGTGATACGTAACAATGAATAATGGGGGGTAACACATGTTACGTATCACATGATAAGAGAGAGAATTTGCAGTTGGGGGAATGTATTGATGTGTGATGCCAGGACTGCATTTACCTATTAGAGTTATGATGGAAAGGCAACAAACTTAGGAAAATTGATGTATCAGTTGACCAAGGAATATAGTAACAGGATCACGATGCCTAGTGCAGCAGATATCTTTGATTACGACCGCTTTGGCAATATCAAATTCAGTAGTCACTGTAGCAGGGGTCTTCTGCAGTGCCAGTAATGAGAGAAAGTTTAGCTTGCGACTAGTTCAACTTTCGTGCATATTTAGAATGCGTATTTAGAATCATGTGTATAACATTACGGTATGTGCAGTGCGGCACAACATAATTATATAATGAAAAGCACTGAAGTGCAAACCCTCCGCGCACTGTTACGCGCACGCGTAAGTAAACGCATGCGCCGTACCACTAATTGATGGGCTGGGTTTAGTTTTAGCTGTTACTCGTGGTCTCTTGCCAGCTCGCGCAGAGTCTGACGCGGGCTAACTACACTACTAGATAGCATGCGAGAGGCGATACACGCCCTGCGTTGCATTTTCTGGTGCCTCCGAGGTACGCAGAGCACGCGGATCGATCATGCCGTAGTAAGCCGTTGTGTATTTGCATATTGGCTTTTTCGTGCTCTAGCTGTGCACGGAGCGGTTTCAGCGAAAACCGTTCCAAATTTCGACCTTCATTGCCCGTTCAGTAGGTGGTATCCTTTGTGAGACGAACGAACACTCGAGCAGTGAGATGACGAGTAACAGACAGACACACACACAAACCCAACTACCGTAATCCTTGCTGCGCATGCGCGCCGAGGGTTAATAACCATAGACAAAATCCCACATTCAGACGGCTCGGTGGGTTCGCTTATAGCCAATGCAAATAATGGGGCTTGATTTTTTGGGGAGTTGGTAAGCTGGGCAACAGTTCCTATAGAAGTGGGTCGTCACGCATTATAAATTCAACATACTTTGAACTGACCTCGTTGCTTGTGTAAAATTTCCTCCACACAAGCCCTATATTGTCGCAAAGTACGAGTGTGCTCCCTTTTATGATGCACAGCTATGATTTATTTCATAAGCACATTAGACAGGTAGCACCATCTCCTCGGTTTTCAGTTGTGACTGCATTGTGTGAATTCTAAGACACTTCTACATTTGCTCAACTAACCAGCTTTACGATGCTGCGTTCGCCATCTACATACAGAATCCTTTCACCACAGTCCTCGCATTTCACTTGCCATCCCACTTAACTAACCAAACAGTAATGGTGGCGACTATAGGGCTTGTGTAGAGGAAATTTGCGCGAGCAAACGAGGTCAGTTCAAAGTATGTTGCCATCATCCATACTACTGTGCATCATCACGTTCACTAGGTCATCCCTGTCTTGTCTCCTTGCTTTTTATGGCATCCCTAATTCCACACTTCTTTAATTCGAAGAATTTTTTGATTTACTTGTCTCCTTTCCTTTTTTACTGTATTCACATGCATTGCGAGTTCCGAGTTTTGGCTCGGTGCTGGCCTTGACCAGCAGGAGTGGGGAGGGGCCTAGGCTCCAAACCACGAATGTCTGGGATGGGTATATAGCACATGCCAGTGGCAAGGCCTTGTGGGGATGAATCTCATTAGTTCAAAACCACAAGCGCTGTGCTCCTGGTAGCCTTTATAAACTCGTGATGCCAGAGAGAGAAGTTGCGGTATGCTCTGTTGATGAGGGCCAACAAGCCCGAAACAGCTGTCCAGAGCTCCTCATCTTTTTTCTGGTGACATCACGTGGTCTAATATCTTCATGGTGTGCAATAAAATGGTATATTTTTGGGCATAAGCCCATAAAAAGTAACATTAGTGGCCTTTAGCTATCACCTCGGTTTTGCCGTCATTCACATTACATCAGTGCACCAAGTTTCATTGTGAAAGGACCCATCACAAGCAAGTTATAGGCACTGACACAATTTAAAGGTCTTTTTTGACTGAGGCTGTTTGGCAATAATAAGTTGTAAATGGTGGATGTGCCTCTAACTTGCTTATGGTGGGTCCTCTAACAATGAAACTTGGTACACTGATGTACCATGATGAGACCAGAAATTACAAGTTTGTAAACAACAACAAACAGCCTCATGCAATAATAACTTGTAAATGTGTTTGTGCCTCTAACTTGCTTATATGTTGGGTTCTCTAACAATGAAACTTGGTACACTGATTTACCATGATTAGAGTTAATCGAAACAGAGATTACACGTTTGTAAACAACAACAAACAGCCTCAGGCAAGAAACTTCTGTTTGTATATACACTGTACAGTGGGTCCCACTTAATATCATACCGTTTAATAGAATATCCCGTTTATAATCATGCAAACTGAAATCCAAACCATTTCTATGCTTCGCATACATTTTACTACCCCGTTTTATAGAATACGATAATGTCATATCCCGCTTATTATGGTATATAAATCTGGCCCCTTTGGTTTTCACCCCGCTTATTGTCATATTACGCATGCGCAATTGCAAATTGACCACGTGGCTCGCTGTTCTGTATGTGGGAGTCGAGATGGCTGCGAGCTCGAGTCGCTGTGCTGCCGAGCGAAAGCGTACAGATCTCACCCTTAGCCAGAAAGTCGAGATCGTTCATCTTGTTCAGGAGAAAAGGCTGTCACAATCGAGATCGCGAAGCGCTTTGAGTGTTCTCAGTCAGCCTCTCCAAAATGTGAAGAACAAAGACGCCATTTTGGACGATAACAAACCCAATTCTCGAAAGCGAAAGCGATCTGGCAAGGCCAACGATGTTGATGGAGCTCTTTACAAGTGGTTTGTTGATGCTCGAGCGAGAGACGCGCCGGTTACAAGTGCAGTTCTGGAAGAGAAAGCCACTCACTTAGCTGGGCCTTCTAGGCAAGCCATAATTCAAAAGCCACGAATGGTTGGCTGTGCAGGTGGAAATCGCGACACGGAATCAAATTCAAGAAGGCCCATGGCGAGAAAAAGGATGCGGATGTTGATGCGGCCGAGCAGTGGTCATCCACCGTGCTCGCTGAGCTCCTGGAAAAGTATGAAATGTGTACAATGCTGACGAAACTGGCATTTACTACCGAGCCTTGCCAGACGGTACACTCACATTTTCCACAGATGCACTCAGTGGTAGTAAGAAGACTAAAGAGCGCATAACTGCGTTGGTTGCGGTGAATATGGATGGTACGGATAAGCGGCCCCTTTTTATTATTGGTAAAAGCAAGCAGCCCCGTTGCTTTAGGGGTATCCCACAGCTTCCAATTCCGTACACCAACAGTGCCTACGCTTGGATGACGGCAAGCATATTTCGTCAGTGGTTAGTTGAGTTCAATAGAGACATGACTAAAGAAAATCGTCATGTTGCCCTTGTTGTGGATAATTGTGCTGCCCATCCCAAGGACAGCGCTGATGAGCTTTCTCATATTAAGCTGTTCTTTCTCCCTCCTAATGTGACATCACTTATTCAGCCATGTGGTATGGGAATTATCAGAAATCTAAAGGCTATGTACCGCAAGAGTATTGTATCCCGAATTATCTCTGTGATTGATACTGGTAGTCCCATCACTGTTAGCCAGCTTGCCAAAAATATTAGCCTACTCGATGCAATGCATATGCTAAAGGTTCTTGGCAAAATGTGAAACAAACTACTGTAGTGAACTGCTTCGCCAAGGCTGGCTTTGTTGTCTCTCCTCCTGACGAGGAAGAGGAGGTGGAGCAACCTCCCAATGGAATGACTCTAAGAGAGTTCCAAGCATTTGTAGACCTGGACTTTTCCCTAGAATGTCGCGGTCTTCTAACAGATGAAGAGATCTGCTCTGCTGTTTGCCAGCCAGAGTCAGAGCTTCAGTCACAGAGCGTGCACCGTGGGTATGACAATAAGCGGGACCCACTGTATGTGGTGTATGTTCGTTTGTTAACGGTTCCACCCATTGCTCTGGGTGCGTGGTCTATGGCCCTAGTGCTATGGCAGCCAACTGAGTATTATTATTATTATTATGACATGGCAAAGCTACCTAGCTGTCTATATACATTCTGCCATTGTATAATAGCCTCAAATGCGGATACAATACGCGTGCAAGCAGTAACAGGTGAGTAGCTAGCGGCCGTGTCCAGACCTGTGTGGAGCTGGGAGGGGGTTGTTGTTGCCACGCGCGTCCGGGCCACACGTGCATGCGCATCTCAGCATCGGGGACGACCACCCGCGTGTGTGCACGCGCTCATGAGAGCAGCGCAACAAAGAGGCCGCATATAAAACTGGAGGCGGTAGCTGCTGGCTTCATTCCTAGTTGGAGTTCGATTTTTGGTAAGTCGCATATTTACCAGTACTTTCTCTAAATTTCAAGCTTACTCCAAACAAATGAATTTTGAATAATGTAGTCATCCGTCTGGGTCTGTGTACGAGGAAGACGAGGAGGAGTGATCAACCTTACCTCACATTTAACTATATTACTAGCACTATAGCTAGCATGGAAAGACCAATATGAGTGACTCTCCAAAGACCAATATGAGTGACAGTTCTCCTCTGTAAGCACCACCAGTCCTACATACGTAAGCCATCATGCACCAGTCCTACATACGTAAGCCATCATCCACCAGTCCTACATACGTAAGCCATCATGCACCAGTCCTACACACGTAAGCCATCGTGCACCAGTCCTACATACGTAAGATGAAACACAGTTTTCACTGCTATCCTCGGTACTTCAACATTCTGGAGCCGAGACAACTTCAGAAGACCTCTGGACTGCTTGGCTGCGTCGGCCGACTAGTGACCACTATCCTGCGTGTGCCGCTCCCGCCAGTCGGTGCAGGCTACCGCGAGGAGTGAAGGATGTTGCATGTTCTTGCATGACCGAGACGGGGGTGGGGGGGTATGAGAACAGTGATAGTACCGTTCTGGGTCTGTGTGCAAATAACAGCTATGTTTCGTTGCTGAAGAGTTCACAAGAAGTGGCGAGGGTTATGGATCAGATTGTTGGTAGAGGAGGTATAGAGTCTCTCGCACCCGCCAAAAATGCACATGTGTGGGGTAAAAAAAGAAAGGAGACAAGTAAGTCTTTGAATTTAAAAAGTGTGGAATATATATATGCATGTGATGTATTAGTACAATGGGATGATGGTTACATCTTTAAACTGACATTGCTTGCTCATGTAAATTTTCCTCTACTCAAGCCCTATATTGTCGCCACTTTTCTCACAACATGAATTTGTTTAGTGTGAGGGACAATGGTAAAGAGATTCTCGCCACGAACGCAGCATTGTAAAAGTCATCGTTAGTTGAGCGAACATGGAAGTCTTAGATTGCACACAATGCAGTCACAGCCAAAAACCAAGGAGTTGTCAGAGAGGGCAGCACCTGTGCATTACGTGCTTAGGAAATCAGTCATTCTATTTTAAGTTCTATGAGGGAGCACAGTCATGCTCCGCGACAATATAGGGCTTGTGTGGAAACATGGATAGAGATAAGTAATAAGTGGTGTACTTGCTTTCGATACACGTTCACTCCCACTCCTGCTCTTACAGCCACTTCTACCACCACACCTACTACTGTTCCTACAACCACTCCTACCACTGTTCCAACCGATGCTCCTACCACTGCTCCTGCTCCTTCTGTTCCTGATCCTGGTGAGTTGCAAGATCTGTTTTGCTGTTTAATTTGCATGATTACCGCCTAAAGCCTCCATTGTCACTCTGAGGCTAACATTTGTGAAACACTCAATTCCATGCTTGTGTGAGAATGGCATTTCACACAAATGTATGGAAATTGTACTGGTGAGGGGGTGCTTTTGGGGCATAGGCCTTTTCATAGTGTTCTGTTGAGACGATGGCACTAAATGTGTGCACGTCATGAATGAGGAATTTTTGCATAATCTTTGTGTATCTGTTCCTTTCTAGTGTTGCATGAGCTGATAAAACTATTACTATCTGGAGCAAGAGGTTGCCTCCTGCGAGCTCTGCGGTGGTAGAGGCGTAGTTGTGCTTGGATCGATGACAATACGTGTTGTTGCACACGTGTGACGTAATATTGCATTGGGGCTAGCCGTTGTTTAGAGCTAAGTAATCTAAATCGCGCAATCTGATTGGTTCGTGAGCGGACTCTAATTCGAGTAGAGTCTGGAATTTGGGGAATTAGAGTCCGCCGGACTTTAATTCTCGCGCATGCATACGCGTGCTTCACCACTTTAGTTTGCTGAGACTAAGCTACTCTCTGAAGTTGAAAGTGGCAAGAGCAGCTCGCGTCTCTCCGAAGATATCGAAGCCTGTCGCCATTTCTCCAACACACGTTTAGCCACGCGTTGCCATCGCTCTTTGTAGGAGCAAAGCAGAAGTGGGAGTGGCCGGTAACTAGGCTGTTGGGCAGGGTCTTGTGAGGACTCGTAGTCGTCGCTCGCTGCTAGCCAGTCGCGGATGGTCTCTCCAAAGATATAGAGGCCTTTCGCCGTTTCTCCAACTTGCGTTTAGTTTGAATGAACGTGTTGCCATAGCTCTAAACCGGTTAGACGCCTCGTCATGGAAACTACGCGCATTAGACTCACGTAGAATATTGCTGTATGTGTGGCATTGCTGGATAGGAAAATCGGCCCGTTGACATGACTAGGTTTTGCTCACTCCCACTCACCAATTTCATGGGAGAAAATTTAGATGATGTGTATTCAGGGGCGTCGGAAGGTTCAGGCAAGTGGTACGGCTCTCTGCGACCTAGTCTCTTCGACAGCATTGCGCACAGCCGACGGGGAAGGCCCAGGCTGCAAGGGCCAGCGCGACTACAACTGCACATGCGCATGCCCTTTTTCACAAAAACAAATTCTAACTGCAAAAAGAACCAATAATGTTCCTTCTGTGCTCTGATTGGAATCAAAAATCATTGGCACATTGTAGGATAAGCAAATGATTGAGCCTGGCTTGATCCATTGTGGACTGAAGGTACGTCTTGACAATACAGAGAGCAGAAAAACATCTCCCACTGGAAGCTTTAGTTGCTTGGGATACAAGAATTAAGATAAAAATGTTTTACTACTTCCGAGAGCAACTGCTGGTTTGCCTTCACAAACGTTTGCTACATCCATCAAGCCTGGAGGACTGTTGTTCTTGAAATGAGATTTCAAGAGCAAGAGCTGTGATCGTAGAAGCTGCTCTTCAAGATCTTCTGAGTACAGCTGCATGACAACAGTTAATTCATCATCATAACAAGCTCCTGCAGAGCCCTTGAGTAAAACTGCTTCCAGTTTGCTGTAAGTCTGGAAACCAGGCTGATCAAAACAGGTGGAAATGCATTGAGAATTGTATCCAGTGCATAGTATAAGTACTCTTCCTCGTTGGCAGGGAAATACCCAGTAGTACTTCCAGTTTCAAAACGAGATGGAACTTTACGTTTGCGAGGTAAGCTACCTCTTCCAAGCTAGTCATTACTACCTTCCAGAAAGAATTAAATTCTTCATCAGTGCGCATGTCTCTGTGAAGAACGAATGAACTTAAAAAGGAATGAACGTATAAAGCTCGAGGCTCATCTTTAGCTATTTGGGTAGCAACTCCACTCATGACTCCCTGCATCACTGCTGCTCTACAGTTGCTGAGGGGAACATGGTCGTCTCCCCAAAGGATTCTTCGCCTGTAGAAATGGAGATTCGTCGCCCTGAACACAAATCGTCGATATAGAAATTGGTCGCCGTGAAGGAAAACATCCTTGATATTAGCATTAGCATCAGCCGTGGGAGTGGAATGTAAGCCACTGAAATCCTCATGCGGCTCTAGGTCATCACCAACCCACCTCAGAACAATGACACATTGCTCCTGTGTGCTGATATCAGTGGTTACATCCACCATAATTGCAAATTATCTCCTGCGAATCCTTGATGCAATCTCCCAAATAATTCTATTAGCCCTCACCCGAAGAAGCCTGTTCTGAATGTCAGCACTCATGTATTTATCGGTTTTCTTGTTGGAAGATCACTATCAAATGTACAAATCATTTTTAGAAGCTGTGAGAAATTACCTTCTATTTCATTGGTGAGAGATGAGCCCCGAATTCAGAGACATTGTCTAGCAAAGCTCGCAAAATTTACAAAAGGCTTGCTCTTCTCTTCCTGTCCTCGGATACTTTAGTGCTAAGAAGCTCACTGACGTGCCTTGTTGTTATAATTTTCTCAACTGCTTCTGAATACCAAGCAGTTATTTAATAAACGAGTATAATCTTTCCAATTTTGGAACCCTCGACTAATATATGCCTGCTCTGAACACCTAGCCTTGAGCTTACTTGCCTGAGCAGCATGCACACAAACATGACAGAAAACACGTTCAGAAGAATTATCCCAGTGAAGCCAGTGCCATTTTTCAAGCCATGAAGCTTATAATGGTCTTTGTTGTTACAGCTACTTTGCCAAATGCTACGTAGGTAAGAAAATAGCAAAGCTAGATAATGATCTTAGCTCTGGCTAGCTCTACCCACCTTGGGAATGAAGCTCTGCGCGGCCAACTTCGATGCTTTGCCACTGCTGCTCCAGGTCTTGACAAGAATTAGATAATAATGATCCTGCCGCGGCAGATCTTTCCATTTCGTCGTCCACTGGGTCCATCCGCGCAACTATGGCTACAACGCATGCACGTGCGACAAAGGGGGCGGGGTGAAAGCTGCGCGACGAGACCACGCCGTGCGCAGCACCGCCTTTGCGCGGCCCTAGCTCCCAAAGACCTAGCTGGGTTCCTACTAGGCCAACAAGTAAGTTGGTGGCGAGTCCAGGCAAAAGTGGTACGGTTGTCGCCGTACTGGCCGTAGCGGCTCCGATGCCAGAATAGTGGAAGAGAGTGCAGAGAAATTCATAGACATTGGTGTCTTATTATTGACAGATGATACTGGGGCAAGAGTCCGTGGAATAGCAAATACTACACTTCATGGTGACGAAGGTCAAGCTGTTAGAAAGAAGAAAAATGGATAGAAGAAGATGAAGATCACCAGTGGGAGAAACTGATCCAGTGTTTCCGAGATTTTAAACTGAATTCCCTTGCCAACGACCTTGAGCTACACTTTGGACTCACTTAACCTTCTGAAAGAGGTAAGGTGGAGGACACTCTTCAAACAATAGCATGTGACACCAGCTATGAGAGCACTTGAGCATGCAAGAAAATGCATACAAAAAATACCTGACAAAAAAGGCGGACTTCTTTGGCTTGAACTACACAATTTAGTGGGTTGTTGTTCCTCAGTTCACTTCATCTGTATTGCTTTTAGCCTATTTCTCCCAAACATAGCGTAGATCACCAATTATCGCACCCTTAAGGAATGGTGTCCACTACGCTGCGGATAAGTTATGTACTTATTTCTAACGTCGTACTCTGCAAGTTTATGTACTGTAGTACCTTCATATCCAGTTTTCGAGTGGAAACTCCATACGTAACTATGGCGGTAGTACGTCCAGCGCGCAAGGTAAAAAAACAGTTATCGCTACCCGGCACCAAATATCGCTTCGCATACAATATTGCGCACTCAATTACCGCCTGTCTCCGAACTTTGCCCTTTCCCGGTTCCTGTGAGCTAATGGTTTCTATTTCACGCCCGTCATGACATATATACTACATGTCCAATTCTACACAACGGTATGTTTTTAAGGTTACTATTAATTGCGGGTACTAATTTTTGCGAATTTAGCAGGAATCAGCAAAACCACTAAATTATATGCGCGCTAATAATTGTGCCGCAATGAAAATTCACTTAAATAGAACAAAAATGTTGGACATCAAAATCTTCATCGGAAGAGCCTGAGTCATCTTCATTGCCCCTTAGTCCTGCCAAAATAGTGCTGGTATATAGCATCCTCGAACTTTTCATTGACTGGCTCCTTGTATTTCTCCGTGACTAGCTCTTGAAACATCTTGATGGCTAGCTCATTCTTTTCACAGTTAGGCATTTCTACGGTTACTTCTATCGGTATCTCGAGCCCTCCTTGCACTAATGGCGATCTTCTGTAGTGAGTGTCAACAACCTTAGCTGATGCACTGGCACTGTGGAGAAGAGAAAAATGTGAAGCGAACAAACCGAGAGAGTCTTTCGGAATATGGGCCCACCACAGAGTTTAGTGATCGACCTGGTAGGCGTTTCTTCAATGCAACGAGTATTGGTGATGTGTTGGACGCTTCATGTTTACGGACAAAACTTCATACACGTTTGGAGGACCAAAATCGTACGATACTCGTGGTAGCCTCTCAAAACCACAGAGAAAGGAAAACCTCAGTTGGCAGCCATCCTTACAGCCAACTAGCACATGCAGTCGCGTTTTTTTTGGAACTCGCCGTAGCAACACGTGCTTGCAATCCTCGCTGCCGGTGTATCTCTTTCAATTTGAGGCTGAGGAGGTGCCATCCCCGGATTCTGCCAGAGCACAAAGTAGAAGCAGGGAGGATGCACTGCTTATCTACCTCCGGTTAGAGAGTCCAGGGCTTGGGAACCACTGAGCGAAGCCAAGAGCCAAGATATGAGGCCGTAGCTGAGTTAAGCAGACTCATCGGCCATCTTAAAAGCGACGAGCTCGTGGCAGTTACACCAATACTCTACTGCTGATCGCCGCTCAATAGGTGAGGTATGCTTTTGAGACCGGAAATGAAAGAGCTACAAATCCAACTTTCCCAACCTGAAGGAGGTACTATAAGGAATTTCAAACGGCTTACAAGCAGAAGAAGCTTGATTTTCAGCGGAAAAGCAACTTAATCCAAAAACAGTGTCAGAAGTTCCACGCAAGACAAGGGGGCGCCAAACCAATTTTGTTGAATTGAAGAAAATTGGATAAAGTTTTTGTCACTGCGCTTTGCGTTCGAAACCGACGGTGGCGTGGTTGAAATAAATATGGGGTAGGGCTTCAGCAAATGGCACTGATTGATAGTAATCCAACTGTTGCAGTCACTGAAGACGTTTAGTTTAGTATGCCTAGTAGTGGGGATTAATTTCCTTTGTATAGATGTATGGGGTTCAGAAGAGAGAGAGCAGGTTACAACCTGACTCGTCCTGCTGTCCCAAAGGTCTCTATGAGAATATAGGAGGGAGTATTTGTGCGAATTAGAAAGAAAGAAAGTGATCAATGGAATATTCCCCAGAACTTGTATTGAACTCCAGATGAGGAGATGAATATGGAAAAAGATGACGACTTTGGAGATTGAAAAAGAAAATGGAGGAAGGGAAAAATGAAACGATATGATGATGATTTAAATATATATAAATAAGAGAAGAAGAGAAGGAAGAAAATGATTATAGATGGGAAAAAAATATGAATAAGAATGATGAATTTTGAAGAAGAGCCAGATAAGAATAACGAGGGAATGGAGGACGGAGAAGTGCGAGGACAGGGAGGAGGCAAAGGAGGATGAAAAATGAAGGGAGCGAGGGAAGAAGAGGAGAAATGAGGGGAGGAATGAACAAGAAAGGAAATGTATGAAGGATTGGATGATGAAGTTATGAGAGATGAAGGAATAATCATGATATGAAAATAGAAATTGAGAAAGATGAGAGAGAGACAAATGATTGGAATAGGAAGTAAGAAGGATGAAGGAGAATGGGAATGAAAAGAGAGAAAGATGGAGGATATGGATAAGATGGGAATTTGAAAATGATTGAATGAGATATTGGATAGATGGAGAGGAGAGGGAAAGGTAACGCACCGTTAGGCAAGGAAGCACCCAGCACACACAGATAGGTTGGAGGAAGGGGAAAAGAAGGAAAAAGTGAGAGATATAAGTGAAGGGACAGGAGAGATGCCGGATGTTAAGGAAAGCAAGGTGGAGACGTGGTAGGAAACAGAAGGCAAAGGCAGAAAGAAAGAAATAAATGAGGGACGACGATGAGGAAACAGAAAGAGAGCAGGGAAGAAGAGAGGAGATAGAGGACGACGAGAAAGCATGGGCCGAAAGGTATGATGGAAAACCACTGACTACAGTATAAAACCAGAGACGTGAGAAAGGAAGGAAAGAGAAAAAACGAGTGGGAGACAGAGGGGAAGGAGGACCAAAGAGATGGAGAGGAGGATGGGAGGAGGAAGAGGAGAGGGGGGAGAGGAAAGGAGGAGAAGGAAGCAGATGAATATAGGAATATGGATAGAGAGAAGAGAGAAGGAGATGGGGAAAAAGATAGAAATAGGAGAGAAGAGATGATTGATGGAGATTGAAGAAAAACGGGATGAAGATTTGATTGAATGGAATGAGAAACAAGAGAAGATAGATCTTGGAAAAGGATGAATTAGAATGAGTGAAAGAGATTTGGAGGAAAGATGATGTAGGGATAGAAATTATGGTATTGGGATGGGTGTGGTTGTTTGTTTTGTTTTGTTGTTTTGGTTGGGTTGTGGGTGTTTGGGGGTGTGTGTGGTGTGTTGTGTTGTTTTTTGGTGTGTTGGTGTGGGGGGGGGTGGTGTGGTGGTGTTTTGGGGTGTGGGTTTGTGGTTTGTTGGGGGGTGGGGGGTGGTGTGTTGTGTGGGTTGGGGTGGTTGTTTGGGGGGGGTGTGGGGGGGGGGGGGGGTGGTGGGGTGTGGGGGGTGGTGGTTTTGGTTGGGGGGGGGGGGGGTGGGGTTGGGTTTGTGGGTGGTGGGGTGGGTTGGGTGGGGTTGGTGGGTGGTTGGTGTGTTGGTGGTGTTTGTTGGGGTGGGTGTTTTTTTTTGGGGGGGGGGGGGGGGGTGGTGGGTGGGGTGGGGGTGGGGGGTGGGGGGGGGGGGTGGGTGGGGGGTTGGTGGGGGTGGGGTGTGGGTGGTGTGGTGGGTGGGGTGGTGGGTTGGTGGGGGGGTTTGGTGTTGTGGTGGTTTATATGACTGCAAAAGTAATGGTGTTGTTAGATTCTTTGAATATTGAATGCTCTTATGTGCCTGCCAATATGACCCTTTTTTTTCAACCACTCGACCTAACCGTTAACCGGTTCGCAAAAAATATCATGGAAAAACAGTTTACTAGGAATGCGCATGCGCATATTCCTGCCAGCCAATACGTAAACAGTCCGACTGAGGCCACTTGTGCGCGCACTGCGCGCGAAGCCAGACTTCCTACGAATCTGCACGCACGAAGGTACACTTCCTTTTGGTGACTACTTGACATTCCTAAGCGTGACTAATTGCCGACACGTACGTACGCATATCGCGAGAATACAACCCGGAGTAGTTGCCTCACGCTAACGCGCTCAGCAAATACGTATTATGCTGGTGCTGTGCAGAAACAACTTCAATCAGGAGCTAATCTTGAAGATATCAATGTTGACTTTCGGCTTTATATCTTGAAACCTTTACACGCTCAGTGGTTAGTCAATGTATATAACTATTTTACAAGTGATAAGGGAAAAGATGTGATCGCTAAAGGGTGGAAAAGGGAAGAAATTTCTGGACTATTCGATGCGACTACACAATTACCGCCAGAATATCCTTTTGAAACTCTCTATGAATGAACTGACATAGTAGTCATTATCAATTGTCATCATCATACATTATTGTGCATACACTTTTAATTACATTATGGAGACACAAATCGCAAAAATTAGTATACGCCAAAAACACTCAGTGCAAAAACGCTAAAATTAGTACCCGCAATTAATAGTAACCTTAAGGTATCATGTTTTTCTCTATTACCAAAGATACCACTGAAAGAGACATGTTGGAAAAGGAAGGAACATTTAAGCAAAAGAATATGGTAGTAGTTATCACTGGTCTAATGGAGGCTGGTAAAACCACACTTCTGCACCAATTGTTTGGTGAAGCTCTCCCCAACATGTACACTAGCACAGGGGTTACAAAACAGCCCTGGCGAGGGCTTACTCCATTTATGATGGACGCTAATGACAATAAGTTTAAGCTCCTGAAAAATCATGAGGATATCTTTGAGCTGGTAGCTAAAGTCGAAATGAACACTTCGTATGAAGAAAAAGTCGTTCAGACTGCAAAAAGGGAAAAGAAAGAAGAAAATGTTGACCAAACTGCTAAGCCTGTAAGAAGGGAAGAAGTTGTTTGGCTAATGGAAGTGGATGCTAACAGCAAAGAATTACCCAAAGATGGAGATGAGGAAGAGGCAATGGATGAACCTAAAGAAAAATATGCCCACTGAGGCTATGAAGCCAACTGTAACTGAAGAAAGTTCAGGTGAAGGTATGGGCCAAGTTAAAGATGTAACTAAAAATCCTGTAAATGAAGAAATGCCAATTTCCTTTAATGAAATGGCAGAAAAGATTCGTAAGAACCCAAAGAAATATTATGGCAAATTAGAGATTGTACATATGATTGATACAGGCGGACAGCCAGAATGTCTGGAAATCATGCCTTTCTTGATTCACAATGCGCATCTCATATTTTTGGTGGTAGACCTGTCAGTATCTCTTGATGAAAGTACAACACCTACATTTCATCAAGATGACCATGGTTTTAAGAAAAAGAGTCTACTTACTTGCAATAGAGAACTTATTCAGCAACTTGCCCAAACTCTTGTGGCAGCACAAGGTGAGGGAAACAACACTAAGCCAAGACTCTTTGTTATTGCCAATCATAAAGATAATTTTAAAGATGAAGAAAAACTCAAAACACATAAAGAAGAATTAAACACTTTGGTAAAGGAAATTCTTCCTCATAATTCAATGTACACCAAAGCAAGAGATATGAGTGTGTTTGATATAAATTTACTTCATCCTGACGCAGATACTCTAAATAGAATACGTAAAACAGTTACACAACAAAATAATGGAGATGAAGGAGCTTGATGTTCCTTTGTCATATGTTATGTTTGAAAGGGAAGCCATGGTTCACATGAAGGAATTAAAAAGAACGGTTAATGTTTTAAAACTGCATGAATGTTGTGACTACGGAAGAAAACTAAACATGAACGAGGATGCTGTTAAGAATGCTCTGAAATACTTCAACAAGAATAGCATCATGTTGTTTTTCGAAGATATAGGCCAAGGGTTAGTATTTTCTGGATCAAAATACCCTCGTTAACTTTGTGAATAGTGTTATATTCTTCAGCTATGAGGCTACAAAAGGGGATGAAGGTCCAATACTTATAGGTAGTGAGAGAGATTCTCTTAGCAAAGGATTGATTACAGAAGCAATTTTAAAAAGAATGCAACATATATTTGTTCCTGAAATATTTGAAGCTCGTCATGCTATTAAAGTCTTTGAAAATCTCTACATCATTGCTAAGAATTCGGAAACGGAAAATGACTATATCATGATGTGCTTGCTTCCACGATCTGTGAAGAAGTTAGAGTCAAGAAAGCTGGTTTTCACGACGTCTCGACCAGTGCAGCCACTAAGACTAGACTTTGGCATTGGTGATCCCCCTGAATGGAAACAATACTGCTCCCCCAGTGGTTGTTTTGGCAGCACTATTGCTTGCCTCATTACCGACTTTCAATTGGAGAATATGTACTGATGTTTTATATGACAAAGCTCCTGTTTGCCTTTATCATGACATGGCTATACTTTGTCCGAAAGAACTAAGCTTAGAAGTAACTCTTGTCAACAAGACCAAGTATTTTGAGGTGTATGTAGGTGTAGATCCAGAGAATAGATATCAATATAAGGAGCTTCCTGCAATTAGAAGTGAAATAAAAGAAGCAGTTGGAAAAGTTTTAAAAACAATGAAGGTTAACCTTAGTGTTGCAGAAGGGTTTGAGTGTGACTGTGAGAACACCAAATACCTTAAAACAATTTATGCTAGGTGCAAGTGTGGGCTGAAGGAGGAATCTGAAAGTCTTTGGATTAAAGCTGAACCAGGTATGTTGCATTACAACTATTGATAGACACTGTATGGTAGGGACGTAGATAAATTCAGAAACCCGAAGGAGATGCCCCGAGCGGACTACATTGCCAGAGTTTGTGTAGGTTCTGAGCATTCCAGCATGTTACCTTTATAGTGCAGTGCATGTGCAAAGTGTCCACTTCCATGACTTACAACACGACAGCATGCATGAAAACGAAACGGTTTCTTACCATGTACATTATTCTAAACAAGTTAGCTACTGCGCAGAATTATAAACATGAAGTACTTTTTGACTAGACTACTTAGCTCTGTAGAGTGTATTGTTGATATATCCCATCCGGTCTCCTTTTAGCATTAATGAAGTACCCGGCTGAGGCACAGAACCAAGGAGGAGGTACGTGAAAACTACGAGGTAGAAAGGCAATCAACTACACCCAGGACAGCTCTTATTTTTCCAAGGAAAAAGAAGAGCTTCCCAGGGTGGGATTCGAACCCACGGTGATCTGCAGTCTAGGCAAGTGCTCTATATACCACCTTACTGAGCTACCAGGGCAACATGCACTGCAGTATGTTTGGTTTGTTATTATTAGCCCTCGGCGCGGAGGAGGTACGTGAAAACTACGAGGTAGAAAGGCAAAAGCAGAACAAAATAAGTCAACTTCACCCAGGACAGCTCTTATTTCTCCAAGGGAAAAAGAAGAGCTGCCCTAGGTGGGATTCGAAACCCACGAAACACTGCAGTCTAGGCTAGTACTCTATATACCACCTGAGCTACCAGGGCAACATGTATACTGCAGTATGTTTGGTTACAATGACTTCGTTGTTATTTATTCCAGGACCAGTATGCATGCGTCAGTTTAAAAGACTAAGGATTGTGGACAAAAGTGCAAAGCTCTATAAAGACATTGGAACAAAGCTTCTTACAACTGCAGCATTAGTTGACTCAATATCAGAAGTAGCAAATGAAGACCCCAAAAAAGCTATAAAACTGATATACAAAAGATGGATACGTACAGACGAAGGTCACTCGTGGAGAAAACTAACACAATGTTTCAAAGATGTTGGGCTTAATTCTCTTGCCCGGGACCTTGAAAAACACTTTGGGCTTCCTTCACCTTCAGGTAAATATATACGCTGAGTTTTTATTATGCAGATGACTGTCTTTCATATTTGTGTATGAACAGTGGCATCACTCACTGTTAGTTACTTGTTCTCTCTCTCCTCCATATTCTGTAGTTGCTTCCCTCTCTCCTGCTCCCTCTACTACCACCACTTCTGGTGAGTCGCTACGTTTTATGATACATTTCATGACTAGGAATTCATTAACTCTCGGCACTCAGTGCCAATGGTCTGTCTGTCTGCTCTGCTTAATCTCGCATCTTGCACTATGATAATATTATTATGGAAATCAAAAAGCTTTCTCTAAAATTGCTTACCTAAAAAGGTTAGAGTGCTTTTTCTTTACCACGGCCAGGTCAACCATTTTACTGACATGCATGTGTGTCAGTGCTACATTGGCTCGATTTGCATAAAAGTACTGTGTTCTAAAGTTATGACGTGTGAACCTACCGACATGCATGAGTGCCAGTGCTATATACACATTGGTTCGATTTGCATTTTCATAAAAAGTTTCTAAAGTTATGACGTGAGAACCAAAACATTAGTGTTACTAAAAGAGCAAACTGGGATTTTGATGTATTGGGTAACTAGCTATACTATTATGTTTCAGGGAAATCCCCTGATACACACTTCTCTGTAAATCTTACTGCCATTTCTGTAGTAGCCTGCCATTGCTGTAGTAGCCTGCCATATGGCTTGATCCCAAGATTTACCACATTCTTGTAGCTAACTCAGGATCTTCTCTCTCCCTCTATAGAGACCCCTCTCTCTCCTACCTCCTCTGCCCCCACTACTGCTCCTACAGCCACTTCTACCACCACACCTACCACTGTTCCTACAACCACTTCCACCACCACTTCTACCACTGCTCCTGCTCCTCCTGCTCCTGGTGAGTTGCAATAATTATCTGTTTAGCTGTTAATACATGTTTAATTTGCATGAAAGCCTCCATTGTTACTCTGAGGCTAACATTATGTGAAACACTCAATTCCATGGTTGTGTGAGAATGGTCATTTCACAGAAATGTATCGAAATGGTACTGGTGAAGGAGGTTTATAACTTTTTTGCTTTTTGGGCATAGGTCTTTCTCACAGTGTTCTGTTGAGACGATGCCACTAAATGTGTGCATGTAAAAATGTTGGCATACTCTCGTGTATTTGTTCCATTCCAGGGCAGGATAGTGTTGCCAGACCTGATTAAAAACTATCATCATCCAAGAGAGATATCAGAATATTAAAAGAGAGTGCGGCAAAATACACACAAATTGGAGCCTTATTGCTGAGGGATGATACCGGGGCAATAGTCAGTGCAATAGAACAGAGCGACCGAGTTGCAACAGTTGAGAAAGATATACAAGCAATGGATGCAAGAAGATGAAGATCAACGTGGGGGGAAACTGATCCAGTGTTTCAGAGATGTGAACTGAACTCTCTTGCAGGAGACCTTGAGCTGCACTTTGGACTCACTTCACTCTGGACAGAGGTAAGGTGGGGGACACTCTCAAAACAAATCACATGACAACCAACTATAACTGCACTTGAAAAGGGCAGCAAGAAGGTATTGGTCAAAAAGCGGACTCTATGGCCTTTGGTTTGGGGGAACTTCACGTTTTAGTGTGTTCTTCAGTTCACTTTCACATGCAAACCAAAATGGTATAATGTATACAGTATCTGTACTGTGTAATAAAAGTTTTCCCTTCAGATGATGATAGAATTACATCCAGTGAGACTACTTCACATTCACAAATTGCCACGTCCTCTCTCTCCTCTTCATATTCTGCAGTTCCCCCCACCTCCCAGCCTCCCCTCTCTGTCTCCACAGCTCCTGCCTCCTCTACCACTGCCACCACTACTACCAACACACTTGGTGAGTTCTTGTCCTATTTTTATACTCATTCTACATGTTGCTCTACCGTGTCAGAGTGTTTCATAGTCTCCTTGCCTATTGCCTCTGTTCCCTCTCTCTCCCTGACTTGTAATGGCTTTTGACTTCACGTTTTAGTGTGTGGTTGTTCCTCAGTTCACTTTCACGTATTCACGTACTGCGTCTAGCCTACCTCTCACTACTTACATACAGAGGCACAACAGGAAGGAAGTCAAGAGACTCAAGACCTACCATCACCTTCTAACACCAATGGTACCACCATTCAACTTGCAGTGTGGATTTACATCATTTTTATGTACCCCTTTAGGAAGCCAGGGTGAAAGCACACAAGAAGCTGTAACTGGTAATAGCCTAGTATGCTGGTATAATATTATACTATGAGAAATGGTATCATTGTGTGTCATAGGACAAACAGGTGCCGTGAAAAGGAGAATAAATGAAAAAGAGCAGCAGAAATCACATGCAAGCCAAAATGGTATAATATTATATACAGTATCTGTACTGTGTAATAAAACTTTTCCTTCAGATGATGATAGAATGACATCCAGTGAGACTACTTCACATTCACAAATTGCACTCGGTAAGTACATAGTGCCTATAATTGGGCACTCTATGTATACAACACTAAAGAACTCACTCAATTGTGTGTCTTATGTTCTATACCTCTGCAGGGCGATGCTGGTTGAGGAAACTCATGGTGATAATTTTCGTCATTGCGATCTTTGTGGCAATTTTGTGGCAGTCATTTCGTTACTATTTTTTTTCTTAGTCTGTTATGTTGTGTGTTAGTATGGACTGTCACAACCTCTTTCTGTACTTCTTTCCCAATCACATTTCTTCTCGCTCTGAGTCTGTGCGCATGCGTGCGATCGAAACCACCCACACACTTAGAGGAGGGAGGAACTGAAGCTAAGTGCGCTTTTACCTGCATGTCGCATTTTGAAACGATGCGCGGCTCAGGTCCTTTTGTCCCCGGCAAACGATGCACATGTACGTGTCTGTACACCTGTGTTTAGGTAGATGTGTAAGCACTGTAATGATAAATAATCTCTATAATTATTATATAGCTTGGGAAAACCATTCTGTGACAGAAGGAGATCTTGAGTGATCTCCAGAGAGAGGTTCAGGTGATGAGAGAGAGAGACCAGACTCCTGTACAAGGGAGTGGTCCCTCCAAGGTTTTTTCTCAAAAATTCTTCTATGCTAATCACTGGAGGCATGGAACACATCTTCTAGCCCACTCCTCCCTCTCTTCCTGCATCCTTTATCCACGCGCTCGCTCTCTCTGTAACCTTCCCAAACTAAAGATATTTACAGTGCTTGCACACCTACCTATACACACAGGTGTCTACATACGTACACGTGCGTCGTTTGCCCGAGGGCAAAACGACCTGAGCCGCGCGTCATTTCAAAACGCGAGTTGCACCCGGACCGCGGCCCACCTCGCCAGCCAAGCCCCTCCTGCCTGCGTGCGCCTCCTGGCCGATTTGCGCGGGAACTTTCGCAATGGCACAATATCAGCGTGCACCCTTCCCTCCACCACCTCCTTGCTGCGTGGTTAGGTGAGTGCCGCAGTATATAAAGAGGTGCTGCAGCAGTAGCGATCCATCTGCCTGATGGTCGAGTGTTACTGAATCTGCGAGACAAAGGAGCGAGGAATCCCGAAGACGTTGCAAGTTGGACAAGGCCTTGGTCAGAGCGATCCAGCAAGTTTGAGAGCACGGAGAAACGAAGGAGAACGAGTAACTGCGTAGTTTACCCGCGGGCGCTTCAGTTTACGCAGTGCCTTCTTCTGTTTCACCTGCTGAGCAGTCAGCTGCGTGTTACAAGCCTTCGTACATACTCTACAACCTTTGTGTGGGTGCACGTGTGAATATGCTGATTCGATGTGTCCGTCTCATGCTTTTACCTCCGCTCTCTTCTCTCCCAGATTTCCCCTGCCTCCCAATTTCCCCCTGTTCAACCACATCAGAGAGAAGAGCAGGTCACGGCTAATGGCTGCCACTCACTATGAGTTTGTAGGAGAAGTACCTCTGGACATTCTCTGTGGAATCTGCCTGGTGAACCACCTCTACCTTTCTCTGTCTCTCTCTGCATCTGGACAATCTTTACTCTTGCAGTATTTAGAACGAGGGGGCCTAGGATACTATTTCTGCATGAGACTTATGCACATGTGGAAGTCAGCTGGCTCCCCTCAATTTTGAGGGAACTATAATAATTATTATGCTAGAAAACGAAGCTAGTGTACTGATTGCCTAGATCAAATTTGTGTTTTGTAAAGAGGTGTTTTTTTGCAAGCTTGTGGATAATTTGCCTGACCACATCTCTTTAACTTCTCTTATCCCTCTCCACCCTACAGCTGGTACCACATGATCCGCAGCGAGTCACGTGCTGCGGACACCATTTCTGTCACCCGTGCATCTCGGAGTGGATGCAGGTTCAGTGCAGCCAGTGTCCGCTCTGCTTCAGACCCAACACCAGTCACCACGACGACCCTAGTCTGGCCCAGAGGATCCTCCTCTTCTGCGTCTACTGCACCTCCAGACAGAAGGGCTGCAACTGGCAAGGCATGCTACAAGATCTCGAGGTATAAATATGTGTACATACTGTATTTATGTATGTACCTCCAGCCTAGTATGTTTTTTGACACTGTGCTATTTTATATGCTTGTGCAAAGTAACAAATTGCTAGTTCTGGGCTGTTTGCATGTAAGTTGCACAAAAACTGATTTTTGCATGTATGTATATACCATTATTTTGCACCACGTGCATGATTCCAAAGTCACCCTCTTCTCGTTTTTCTCTCTCTTCTTCCTCTTCCCTGCTCTTTCTCCTCCCTTCCCCTCTCCCTCCTTCACAGCTGCACCTGAGTTCAGACGAAGGCTGTCAGTTCTCGCTAGTCGAGTGTCCGCTGGCAGTGTTTGGATGTCAACAGCACAGTCTCACGAGGAGAGATCTCAGCAGACACATGACTGACAAACACACCAAACACATGACAACTGTCATTGGTGAGTCACCGATACATATTACAGTGGAGCCCCCGAACAAGGGACACTTTGGGGCCAACGATTTTGTCCCTTGTAGAGGGGTCGTCCCTATCTCAGAGGTCAAATAATACACTAAAGTATTAGCATGGGGTTGAAACAAGTGTCCTTTGTAGAGAGGTTGTCCCTATCTCGGAGGTCAAATAATACACTAAAGTATTAGCATGGGGTTGAAACAAGTGTCCTTTGTAGAGCGGTGATCCCTATCTTGGAGGGTCGTTCCTTATCGGAGGTTCCACTATAATTATTTGACTGTGAGATTCTATGGAATATATAGAGATAGCTATAGAATTTCTGCATGACTAGAACAAAAGCATTTTTAGAAACACTGCATATACTTGACTTTTGCTCATGCATATTGCTGCATTATTAGTCAGCCGATACATATTGAAAAACCAGACAATTTAGACTACTAGATAGACTCACTTCTCTTGCTTTAATTCTACTGGAGTGTGTGAGCTGTATAAACTGTGTATATTCTTGCTAGTGTGGTGTTTAGCTCATGGAGTGTGACCTGTACATGCTAAGAACAAGCATATATGAGGCTGCATCGTGTGCTGGCATGTGCAGGTAGCTGCCTAGCACACCAAGCACATGCCGCTATACAAATTCTGTACTGGACCAGTCTCATGGAGTGTGACACATGCATGCTAAAACATGTGTTGCTATTATAGCACATCATTAAATTTTGCAATTTTCCATTTGTAAGGTTTGACAAACACATTAGGATACAAATTGTGTACTGTGACCACATTGTCTAGTTTTCAGTGTTTGGCTCAGGGAGTGTGACATAATATGCATGCTAAAAACATGCATCCATGATCCATGTGTACTAACACAATAACATGTTTGCATGTGTAAGGTTTGACAAACACATTAGGACTGTCATCAGTAAGTGTACTGTGACCACATTGTCTAGTTTTGATCGAGGAGTGTGACATATACATGTTGAAAACATGCACATGTGGGGCTGCATGTGAGCTGAAACAATGTCTGCGTGTGTGAGGCGCCTAATGTTACGTAACTTTCACCTCAAGTCCTATGACTGTGCACGCTTCTCCAACTATTTAACTGACAAGACAACTGCATGTTTCATTCCCAACTACTTGAGTGCTGAAGAGAGGCCAAGGAGGATACTATTGCAGCTCTTTACTGTTACATGTGCATATCTGTTTGGACTAATCCATAGCAAACAGCTACTACATCTCAATGTGAGTATGGAACCACTGCTTTTTGGTAAAGTCTAGGGTTGCTACTTTCCTAAGGTGGCCTCAATAGCATTTTTACATGTGCCACTTAAAATCTTCTATTGCACATAACAGGGTATCATGTCAAATTCATTACACCGTTTGTATTCGATGCAGTTCAACTGAAGCAGACGTCGACTAGACTGGAGACCCAGCAGAGACAGATGGAGGAGCTGCAGCAGAGATTTCTTTACTTCTCCTCGCAAATCAACTCCACTATCCAGGTGCTGAAGACATGCTAACCTACTAGAATGAGTTGGCGAGCCAACGCAAGTAGTTCATTATTCACTCCCATACTTAGAATCACATACAGACATTATGGTGCATGTATGTATATATACCCGTGCCACATATAGTGTAATCCTAAACCCACATTCAGACCACTATATAGGTATTACTCTCCCTACCTGCCTGCATGAGTGAAGAGCCATGCAAGTTTTAATGTGTGAATATGTTGTAATTGATTCCTTATTCTGTGCTTTCTGTGATAAGCTGTCCTAATCAAAGATGCACTGTCATCCAGCTATGCATAAGGGGATTTTTGTTATGTAACATTGCATAAAGCTAAGTGGCTGTGTAAACTAGTGCACAGTATAGACAAAGTTACACTGTCTGTCTACCTGCTAACAGGCCCAGAGTGGACTGGAAGCTAAGACTACTCAACTGCAGCAAGAACTCCAGAGAATGAAGACCAAGATCTCCCAATTGGAGCACACCCTCATGAAGCCGGGGCATCTCAGTCTCTCACTGTTGGACCAGGCCATCAGCGACACCTTCCCTCCACTGGGGAGGAGGGAGAGGAGCTTCTGCCACGAGATGGAAGAGGAGGATGTTGGGCTGAACACGTCACTTCTGCAGGGACTAAGGAGGATCCAGGAAAAGGAGAGTGCGGTGCCACAGGGTAAAGTGGGTGTGGCTTCTCTGAGCGATGTCAGGGAGGAAGCGGGGTTGCCGATTAGTGGGGATTTACCCACGGAGCTAGCTGTGGGTGGAAAGTCACTGGAGGAAATGAACTCTGACCTTGTCAAATCACCCATTCCCTCACCCCCTGTTCTACCGACATATGCAACGACCGTCTCCAGACCATTCCACCCTGTGCTGCATGGTCACGGTCCCATGTCACCATGCTCCATTCCAATCCCCCAACAGTCGTCCATGTCGCAACTTACACAGAGCACGAGTACCACAACGACAGTCACGGACCCCATCACCACGGCAACCGTCGTCATGGATACCACCAAGTTTTTGAATCGCCATAGGAACCAGGATGACATGGTGTTCCCCGGCAACAGTAATAGCAACCGCTCATCGCCGTACGGGTTCCTGGGTACCATGGCAACACCAGACTCCGGAGTGGGTGAGAGTGATTTCTCAACTGGACGGCAGAGCAGGCTGTCCCGGGATGGGGAGTGTGTTGTCCCGTCTGGCGGTGTACTAGAGGAGGCAGTGAGAGCTCTACCCCACTGCGGGTCGGTGGGGTCGGGTACTACGGAGTGGATGGGGGAGAGTGGGGGAATTACTCCGAGGTCAGACAGCTCGCTGAGTCTCCGCAGCTGCTCAAGCAGTGGTGAGGACCCTGTTTCTGCCATCTTCGCTCTAACTTCTGCACTATGTTGATTTCTGTGCTCCCATGTATATACATAGCTGTTAACCCAGCACCACATAATTTGTGCATTCACACACTAACTTTGTGTGTCTTGTGTATGGAACTAGGGCCTCAAGAAGGCAACACGCATGAATCGCAGGCCCTTGCTCCCTCTTCTTCTTCGTTGCCTTATCTCTTGCCCCCTCCCTCTCCCCCTCCCTCACACTCCCTCTCCCCTCCCTCTCCCCCTCCCATCCTCCCTCACAGACTCCAGTTTCGTGGGTGACACAGTCATCCAGTACGGATCGTCCACTGTCGTCGTCTCCACCTCCTCGGGGAAGAAATCGCCCAATCCCAACCACACCCAGGTAATTGCACATGGACACCTACAAAAGAACAACAGTTTATTAGTATGCACTCACAAGTGTGAAAACGTCGTTTAGTAGTAACTCGCATCGTGTTTACTAAGTGCCCGCTGTGTCATTTCCCTGCGCAACTTGCACACGTGTAAAACATATGTACTTTACAAATGGCATCTTGTCTGTTGAAATTTGCACCCGTTGCAAGTCATAGGGCCCTTGCGTTGTATATAGTGTTTTGGTCCGGTAGTGCTGATGTAATGTGACTGTCAGTGTAGTTGATTGTCATGTGACTGTGTGCAGGTGAAGCTGTTTGTCAAGTACATGCCACACTGCTGCAGTCCTGAAAAAGCTGTCTCCCTGTTCCTGGCGTACGGGAAAGTCCATCTCCTGGAGTACCACTCTGAACACAGAGATAAACTGTTCCTGGTAGGTTTAGTGGAGGGGGAGGGGGCTTTTGTGGTCGTTTTGTGTCTGCATCCGAGACTACTGGCATGACTTTTCCATGCTTACTTTTGTGCATATTGCACACTTGTACTTTCTGTTTGTCGTAATGTTAACTATACTTTTGCTACTCTTCTTCAGTGCACCTCTCCTTGATCTTACCAAATGTCCTGTTTTTTACACTCGTACTTGCTGTTTGTCTCAATGTACTTGCCTGCCCTTCTTTAGCTACACCTCTTCCCGATTTGTACAATACCTTCATCTCACCAAAATGTCGTTCCTTCTTTCTCTCAACTGTCACTAGATCATGGACAGAGAAGGAGGGCTGCAGGCCATGTCTGGTCTCAATGGAACAAGGCTGCCAGGAAGTCCCAAACCTCTCTCCGTACAACTCTACGTAAGTGACTTTCTGACTACTTTTGTATCTGCAGTTGTGCTAAATCCACTATATACGTTGGAACCTCTGATAAGGGACTCTCCAAGATATAGACGACCCCTCTACAAAGGACACAACCCCATGATATTGTTTTATTTGACCTCCGAGATAAAGACGACCCCTCTACAAGGGATGAAAATCATTGGCCCCCATAGTGTCCCTTGTTCGTATTGTATGGCCTTCAGGGAGTTATAGCAAACGAAAGGCTGGGATTTCTAGGTTGGGTAGGTCTTTGAATAAACACTTTTTACATACAGGTCAGCATTCATATTCTTGGCCCACCTCCCTTCCTTCCTCCCTTCCTCCCTCCCTCCCACTCTCCCTCCCTTCATGCAGAGGTCTGTGCCAGTCTCGACTACTCCAATCGTCCAGAGAGCTGACAGCATCACTGCTGACAAGACCCTCCGAGTAAGGATGTGTACAGTATTTTATATTGGGTCATAAAAAAAAACAGTAACCAAACAGTCGTTCGGAAACTATTATGACGCATACATGTGTTTAGTGTACTCTTTTATAATTAATATTGTCCTGACACACACGAGATAAAGGTCTTCAAGGCTCAGAAAACCTGTTACAAGCTACTGTAGAGACTGGGCAATTGTACTATGTATGTATGTATGTATGTATGAATGTATGTATGTATGTATGTATGTATGGTGAATACTTCTATTATATGTACAGTCAGGGGAATCTTACATCATAATTTTTTCCCTCAGCTGTTTGTCAAGAACGTCAAATCAGACACGACGACGGAAGAGATTTCTGAGCTGTTTTCCGTCTACGGACGAGTGTTTGACGTGCAGAAGCATCCAAACAGACGCAGTGTTGCCTTTGTGGTGAGTGCCCCATAGTACCATACATACAGTAACTTGCTCCGGAATCAACAACTTCCAGTTCTTTTATGTGAAGTGAATTATTCTGTAGGGGAGGCAAAGTCACTGCACATGCGTGCTAGTAACGTGGAAAATTGCATGTATATACCACTGTTCTAGTTGCTATAAACTTACGAGTAGTCATTTTGAGGTGTTCAGTTTTGTTTGTCTCCTGCAGTACATGTGTGAGGAGGGAGGCAACAAGGCCATTTCCAGCCTCAATGGCTTCACCTCCAACCAGACCAGCAAACCACTCATTGTCAAGCTCAGCCATGAGGTAGAGTAATGAAGTGTGTGTGTATACAGTGAACTGTGGGGCCAACGATTTTGTTTCCTTGTAGAGAGATCATTCCTATCTTGGAGGTCAAATAGCATAGGGTTGGGACATGTAGAGAAGTCGTCCCTATCTCGGAGGGTCACTTCTCATAGGTTCCACCTCCTGTTTCTCACCATTATACTTGCACATCTTTGCAAGCAATCAGATTTTATGTTTCTCTCTCTCTCTTTCCCTACTCCAGCCAACAGGAGCAGTCTCACTAAAAGTTTGATCTAGAGCAGCTATAAAACTCAGACCAACCAGCCATACATTATTGTAGTTACTCACATAATCAACTACCTCACCTAAGAAAACACAGTTCATTGTCATTGCATCAATTGATCACTTGTCAACAAGAATCACTTGCTTCATCAAAGAGACAATTTTACTTCATCTTTTTGTGATTTGATTAATCAATAAAGGATTTGCAGTTGCGCGCATACTCTTAGCTGACGCTATTCGAGTCTTACGTAACGAACTGTCTGCGCATGCGTGATTTGTTTTCGGGTGCTGCTGGAGCGTCCACAGTCTGCTGCAAAGACTGACACTTTCAATTTTGCAGAATGTTACCAAGCTACACGTGTGCTGCAGGAAGTTCAATATATTATAACTGATGGGAGGGCTACAACTATATTATAGTGAATAAACTTGTTTTGCAGCACTCTATACATAGCAGTATTCATATTATCATCACTGTATGTACAAGAGACCCAGGTCTATCTTAACAGGTTCTGCACAGACTGGCACTGTGCCATGCTTCACTGGACTTGGTTGTGGTTCTGGTAGTGTTGGGTTCTATATATCAGGGTTTGGATGGGTACAGAATATCAGCAGTGATTTGACATCAGCTGAACCTCAAACTGAAGTAACTGCTGTGGAAGGAGAGACTGTCACTCTCACACTTTTCTACACTAAAAATAATCCACCAAATGCCATCCGTTTAGACTTTACCATTCAGACCTTGGGTTCAGCAACAGGTATGTATGACTGATTTTAGCTACCTCACTTTATGTACCCCTTGTTCTACTGGATTCTCCTACAGACTATGTTGTCACTCCAGATCCAGATAGTTTTCATGAATGAAGCGTCACTGCAGTTGGTCCCAGTCACAGTTAATGTCACTCTAGCCAGTGATGGTATTGGAGGAGAAGGAACTGTACTCACTCTAGTCCAGCTTCCACCAATCGAATCCGAGCGTGTTTTCGCCAACCCAACAGTCAGGATCATTGTCGAGGATAATGACAGTAGGGAAAAGTGGATGTTGGTATTACATTGTGATAATGCACACACCTACTATAACCTTATTCACAATCCAATCACCACAGTTTCATACGTTTCAGATTAGAGAAAATAGCCAAAGAGAAGCCTTATATCTCATCTTAAATTCTGTCTCATCTTTTTGCTTCTTTCTTTCTCTGTATAGTTGAGCTGCTAGTCTACATAGTACATACTACGTTTTTTGGTGACAGGTTTTGTGCCATATCGGAGTGTCCCGTGTGTATGTCTCAGAGTCAGGCACTTTTTCAAGCTACAACTTGGGTTCAACATGACATTCCTGCAGCTTTGTTTCATTAAAAATTTATTTGCAAACCCCAATGCTATTTTGAAGGCACACTGCTTTGTATCTATTCAGATTCTGCCACTGCACCATCTTTAAAGGAGCACACTCAAAGCTGTAAACTATGATGTGGTAGTGGGCAAATATAGAGCATTAGTTGGTGTGTGGTTTTTCTGCCTCCACTCTGTTTTGAGAGCTAATGAAACCCTTCCCCCAGTACTCTTGCTACACTAAGGGAATACACTATCCTATAAGGAAAGCATAGTAGGTAAAGAGTTTAAGGGGAAGAGCCAGCAAACCCTTGTCAAGCCCACACATCCAATGGGCAGAAAGTAAGAAGGTTTAAAGGGATAATGGTGCCAAAATCTCTATAACTAATGCAATGCATTTTGTTGGCGAGCAACGTGAGCAGCTAAATTATTGCACGTATTTAGAATCACATACAACATTACTGCATCATTATGACTGAATCAATTCATTATTATTGCGGATTTGTTTCATTGTCATAGTTCAGACTGGGTTCAGGATGGATGTATCCCAGAGGGTGTGTTGCAGGAGATCTGTCTGACTACTGTTGGCAGTGGATGCTGTGCTAACTGTCTCCGTCACTTATGGCACTGCTGGAGCTGAGGGTAAAGATGCTTTGACTCTTAGCACAACTTAGTTTTAGGATGTGGTATGTTGGCATTAATCAACCATTTTCTTTCCATGGTCTAATACTGAACCTAGTATAGAATAATTCCCATACTGAGGGTTCCAGCAGTATTTATGATTATACACAGACTTAAATCTGATCACGACACAAGAGACCATCACTGAGACTATGACTGAGCCGTGTGTGAGATTCCAGGCCATAGCAGACCGTCTGGGACTGGAGGAAGTGGAGAACCTCATAAATTTAACAAAGATTATAGTAGCCCATGAAGCATAAACATTTGGTCAGATGTGTGCCTCTCACTCACCTTTCTCTCCCAAGTATATATTCCTTTCTCTCCCTTACCCCCTCTCTTCCACCTCACCATCTCTCCATTTATTCACTCCCCCCACAGTTGAACTGGATGTGGAGCAGATAATGTGTGAGTGTCGGAGGCAGACGGCTCTCTGGAAGTGTGTGCAGTTGTAAATAATGGAACTGTCGTTAACCCAGTCACCATCTCTGTGTCTCTATCTCGAGTCTCTGCTACTGGCAAGTGTTCTTATACTTTTAGTTCTACTGCAGCAGAACACACCTACAATAATAGTAGCTAGGTGTGGATATTATGAAAGTAGTATATTATGTGTATGTTGATAGTCTCAAGTATCGGTCATTGAAAATGAACTTTGCCTAATCAATGCTAAAAGATTATGAATTGATTGTGTAATTCTGTGTTCAGAAGGAGATGATTACATACTGGAGGATGAGGTAGTGACACTGGACGCTGGGTCATCGGTTGGGTGTGCTACAAGTAGAATAGTGTCCGATGACCTCATTGAAGGACCTGAGGCCTTAAATGTGGAGATAACCACCGATGATGCATTTGCTGTTATATCCAATGACTTGGCACTTGTGACCATCACTGGAGAGCTAGGTGAGGAGGAGAAAAAAGAATGGGAGATGGAGGAAAAAGATAGAGAGAAGAGAAACAAGCAAATCACTGTGTTATGTTTTCCTGCTTCATTCTCTACGGACTTATTGGCAGAAGTCCTTTCCTACTTTTCTAGCCATAAATTATGACTTTTGTTTTTTGACCAGAGTACTTGTTTTCAATGTGCAACAATGATCAACGTTTTTTCTGCCTCCCGTGAGCTACATGAGGGAGAATACTAGTAGGATGCATGGCATTTATTGGAAAGAGGTACATATATACAGCCTCGGTCAGGTATTGAAGAGCGCAGGGAATGCTTGCGAATAGACGAGAGTTCTTTCGCTGAGATTTCGCATCGATATGACAGCTAGCCAGCGTGTAAAGAATATGCGCGTTCCCTACCACACAAGCGTCTCTGCTCAGGAGTCTCACTGACACGATGTTCTCTTTCCCTCTCTCTTCGACAACGAATGGCATCCTCTCAAGACTGATGCGAGAGTACGGAGCTACACACACGCACGAAACATCACGCAGCATGTGAAATTTTGAGAAGAGCGGGAGCATGCGCACTTACACGACGTACGCGGTCGTAAAAGTCGCGCCGTTTGGACCACTAGGTTAGCTCGCTCCCGCTCGCCAATAAACTGTGGTTGCCCTCAGAGGTTTTAAGAGTCACAGAAAGGCAAATGTTTCGGAGTTGAGAATCAAAGAAAGTGGACCTCAAAGTGTCCTTTATTGGAGGTTCTACTGTATAGCTGATTTAACCCTTTAGACACCGTGGGATCTGCATACATAAGCAGAAAATGATGTATAAAGTATTAGCGCCTTGCCGCCATATAAATCCTTATGGACTTATGGAGGCTCTGGACACATTTACGTGTCCCTGGCCGCTGGTTGAGTGTTAGGGGTTGTGCAGTGACACACTTATGAAAAGTTCCTTCACAGCTTTGTATGTCACTATTGAAAGTTCCTTCACTACTGTATCTTTTGTCGTGAGATTCATTACGCCTACTAATTATCTTTACTGGCAGAGGGGGAAGATTTCGAACTGTCAGAGGAAGGCTGGGTTTACAATATGTTGCATTGCTCCATCGCACTGTATTGCATTGCCGCATCATGAGGAATCCATTTCTATCTTCAGGGCACCATATGACCCGGCACTGCGCGGCGGGGCACATAAATTTACTCAACTACTACATACTGTAATAGCCTAGCCCATCAATTCAGAGGTACCGCGCATGTGCAGTTCGCCGAGGGCTTGCACTTAGTGCTATTTTAGTTATACAAAACATCATGTAGGTGTCTGATTGCCATATCTATATACTATGCATAGTGAAGTTACTTACTCTGGCATGCAGCAGATCCACTCCATGTGCCATTACTTTGACAAACACACTCTGACATGCCGACCAGATTGAAACCATCCTCGAACACAGATAGTGCAGTGTCTTGAGTTCCAGATATTACAAGTGAGCCATTCACGGGACTTCCAATGGGAGAACACTGGACAGCTGTATTTAAATAAACCAAGTCCACACTGAGCTAGCCTGTGACAGTAACATGCTTACCCTCGCATACAGGAGGGTTGCCACTCCACTGGCCCTCAGGACCACACGTCAGTATTGAGTCTCCAATAAGATTGAAGCCAGTGTTACATGTAGTTAATTGTAGCCCTTTTGAAGTCCTGTTTCCTTTCTCTTTTTCTTTCTTTCTTTTTATGTATATAGCGTGAACTGTTCAGTTTTCATGTGTACTCTGCTGTCTGTCAAAAAGTGTCTCCACTCAGGTTCACATTTCCATTTGCAGGATCATTCAGAGTGGGGCACACAACAACTGAGTGGAAAGAAAGATGATTTTAAAACGAGTGCCAATTGTCAAGCTAAACGTATTCACTCTGATATATACAGGTGCAGATCCACTCCACGTGCCACCGATTTGACAAACACGCTCCAGTGAGCCAACCAGATTGAAGCCAGTTTCGCATGCATATATGTTGCAGCCTCCTGGTAAACACCAGCACCAGTTCCAGATATTAGCACTGAGCCATTCATGGGACTATTGATAGCATGACACTGGACAGCTATGTTGAAATAAGCAAAGTGCAGTTGGTGAGTCTGTGACACTAAGATGCCTACCCTCGCATACAGGAGAGTCCCCAATCCACTGGCGATCACATCAATATTGACTCTCGAATCAGATTTTAGGGAGTGTTACATGTGTACTCTGCTGTATCTCCAAAAGTGTTTCCACTCGGTTCGAGATTGCCATTATCAGGAGTGGGACATGCACTAGTGTATTATAATGAATTAATGCTAAAGTGCATGTTAACAGGTAGTGAGGAGCATTTGTAACACAGACATAAATAATGATATGAGCATTCGTTGAAATGGGAGATGAAATGGTCCCAGAAGTAATTGTGAAGTTTGGATTTGATAGAAGATAGGAGGGAGAGAGTTTCATAGTCGAGGTATGCCTGGAAACTTTGTAGTTATTATTTATATATACGTCCGACCGTGTAAGTGCGCATGCGCGGCTTCGTACTCGCCAATTAACCCTCGGCGCGCATGCGCAGCGAGGGTTACGTTGTCTGTCTGTCTGTCTGTCTGTTACTCTTCATCTCACTTCTCGAGTGTTCTTTCCTCTCACAAAGGATACCACCTACTGAACGGGCAATGAAGGTCAGAACTTTCGAACGGTTTTCTCTGAAAACGCTCCGTTGCAAAGCTAGAGCGCGAAAAAGCCAATATGCAAATAAACAACGGACGGGACGGCTTACCGCGGTCTGATCGATCCGCGTACCTCGGAGGCACCAGAAGATGCAACGCAGGGCGTGTATCGCCTCTCGCATGCTATCTAGTAGTGTAGTTCTAGCCCGCGTCAGACTCTGCGCGAGCTGGGAAGAGACCACGAGTGACAGCCAAAACTAAACCCAGCCCATCAATTAGTGGTACGGCGCATGCGTTTACTTACGCGTGCGCGTCACAGTGCGCCGAGGGTTTGCACTTCAGTGCTTTTCATTACCCTCGGCGCGCATATACTGTAGTTGGGTTTGTCTGTCTCTCAATCTCACTTCTAGGGTGTTTGTTCGTCTCACAAAGGATACGACCTACAGGCGTTCTTTCTGCCTCCTGTGTGGCACGCGCAGGCGTATTAGAGCCATCCCGAAAAATAGGCGTGGCCAAGTTTTGAGCATTACGTTTTCACGTTGACCTTTGCCACCCAGTCACGCCCGTTTTTTCTACCCGCGTACCGAAGCAGGCAAAGCCACTGCGCATAATAGAGACAGCCCGTTCGCTCCTGGGTGAGTCGCGCACGAGTTTTCTCTCCCATAGAGAATGTAATATGATATGCTAATGAGTTTGGAAAGCAAGGTAGGAAAAATCCGAGAAATAATTATACCTAAATTCACCATAAATCACCAGCGTTTTTGCTGTGTCATTGAAACATACGCCCACGCACAATCGTTGCTAATCTTTATTAAATGAGCTATACAGTAGAACCTCCAATAAAGGACACTTTGAGGTTCACCGAAACATTTGCTTTTCTGTGACTCTTAAAATCGACCACCCAACAACAACTCAACAACAAAGGAAGATTGACTCACCAACTTCAAACCAGAGTCAACAACGGATGGGTGATGAGGATGATGTCCGGGACGAGGCTCGTGTCTATGTCTATACCGTCTCACCAATCATCCATCAGTGTATATACAGTAACCCTCGAGAAGGGAAATCGGCTCGAACGAACGACTAGGTTGGCTCGCTACCGCTCGCCAACGAGGAAAATTCCGCGCCGTTCGTAGCTACCACTAGGTTAGCTCGCTCCCGCTCGTAGTGAACATTGTTGGCGAGCGGGAGCGACCCAACTTGGGATTTGCCCGCGATGTTCGGGCTGCATAACGTGCTGTCAGCGCACAGCTTTCCTTTCGTGAAGCAAGACATATCTACCTGTCGCTGTTACATGCGTAATGCACATTAGCAGAACCGTGAGCAAGTGAGCAGAACGGTACTTACCTTATGCTTTCAGCTTGTCTGTCGTGGTCCACCAGGCAGCTGGCATGCAGCAGTATGTGCACGAGCAATCCTAGCGTATTTGCAAGTTGCACCTTGGAACCATGAAGACTGGGAAGAGGTACAGCCTCGGTCAGTCACCGAAGGTTGCCGCGCATGCCGTCGAATCGAGGAGAGTTCTCTATAATAGCTGGCTAGATCGATCGGGCGCGGCACCGTGTGGGAAAATGTGTAAAGAATGTCGTACAAAGCCGCGCATGCGCACTTACACGACGTGACGTACGATAAACGGCGCGATTTTTCTAATTTTAGGGAACGGGCAAGGTAAGCCTGGCCACGGACAGGGAAGCACGACTCGTGAGCTACACGATCATGCGCAATCAGAGGAAGCGCAACAGGCCAGGCTCCAACAGATCCGAAGCTACCAGACCTGGCGAATTGCCGTCGAGATGTGCTCGCTCCCGCTCGCCAAAAATGCCATGCATTCGCCTACTAAAAGTATGTATACAGAAAATTCCGCTCGAACGAACGACTACACTGTAAATTTCGTTGTGCCTTTTCAACACACAATTTCACATCACTGGATTAGGAAAATAGTGAAGAAGAAGCGCGTACAAAGCCGCGCATGCGCACTTACACGACGTACGCGGTCGGTTGTGTGCTGGTACCTGAGCCCAGTAATAAGGCTGCAACAACCTTTCCAAAGAATAAGTGGTTTGATAGAGAATGTAAAGTCCAAAAACGAAGAGTAAATGATGTAAAAAAGAAATTTATTGCCCTCCCTTACAACCCTTATCTCAGAGACAGTTATTATCAGGAAAAGAAAAAGTATAGGACTTTGGTCAAAGCGAAAAAACAGAAAGCTAGCTCCCATCTCCATAGTTTGCTCATGACAACATACAAGAGGGATCCCCGAAATTTTGGAAGATAATCTCGCGGGCAAAGACCAAAACAAGGTGTAACATCTGAGGTGCATCCTCAAAAACTTAGAGAATATTTTCAAGTATTGAACATGAGCACCGGAGGCCCAGAACAAGGTTTTTCTGTCCCACCTGCCTTACCATACGTCTCTGAACTGGATGACCCAATTTCTCATGACGAGGTTTTACAAGCGATTGTTCGCTTGAAATCTAAGAGAGCCCCAGGGATTGATGGAATCCCTGCGGAAGTCTACAAGGCGTTGAGTGGGTATTTTACGTCACTTTTGACAGATCTATTTAATCATATATTATACACAGGCCTCTACCCACATCAATGGTCAATAGGAATTATAACTCCAGTACACAAGGGAGGCAATAGAAATGACCCCAATAACTATAGGGGAATAACTGTCTTGAACACTATTGGAAAAATATTTACATCAATTTTAAACTCAAGGATAATGGACTGGGCAGAAGAAAGATCACTGATACCAGAGTCACAGTGTGGTTTTTGGAAAAACAGGAGTACAATTGACTGTCTTTTTATTCTAAACGTAGGGATTGAATTGGCTTTAAGGTGGTTTCCCACCCAAAAAATAGAAAAAATGTCAATTTTTTGATTTTTACATATCTATAATGCTTAGACACTGAGGATTCATCATGCAATGCTATAATCTTCCAATTGTGCATGGATATAGTGCTAGAGGCAGATATATTGCCACATGTCTGAGGAAAACTGCGAGGAAGAAGAGGATTTAACATTCGATTGAAGCTAACTCCGCATTGCTAGCTTAGAAAAATTTCAAAATTTTCCCCTTATAATTAGAGACCACTTTAGGTAATATAGGACACGTGAGAGTCTCCTGCGCCCCGGCGCCGCCAAGGAAGGCGTGATATAGAGCGGTAGGCATGAATACGCGAAAAATTGCAAGTTTGACCAATCACGTACGCGAATTTGTGCGTTTCCTTGGTGATCGTGACGTCACGTCACAAGCCACGAGGGTTGTAAAATCTTTTCCAAGACGCTTTCTGCTGGTTTTTTCCTACTATGTCTGGAAGGAAGTTTAGGTCGATCAGGCGAAGGAAGCAATGGACACGTGGACCTCCTGCCCAGACTCTACCAGCGACAGCGACTCAGCAACAGCCGGAAATCGCGTCCGCTACCGCGCCATCTTCAGTCGCCGTTCAAGAGCCGTCAGGTACGCCCAGCAGAGATGCTACTGCGTCGAAGAAGAAACTCTCTGTCTCTCCACATCTTTTACTGGGTGAAGATGACGATAGTAGTGACTACGAGAGTGATTGCGAGAGTGATTGCGTGACGGAAGGACAGGGGTGTAGACTGTTCGAACTGGATGGCTTTAGGACGGCGTTACAAGGTGTGGGGAGTGTGGTGCGAAACGTCTGGCATATGGAGAGGACTTCTCCAAACGACAGGGCTTGTATATAGCCCCTTACTTGCTGTGTAGGAGTTGCCTGTGCTTTGGATTTGTGCTGTTTCAATGATGGTGCCTATTCCCTTGCTGCCATCACTGACACCCTACACTTGAATCCAACAGCTCTCTCCAAAGCCTTCTTGAAAAGGAAGGACATAAAGAGACTGGGCAGCAGTGAGTACAAGTCAACAGACGAAGCCAAAAAACTGAGACGTATAGCCAGACGCCGGAGGAAGGGTCTGGATGACCGCCATAAACAGGGGGAAGGGGTGATGTACGCAGCGGGAGCCTTTGATGCTGGTCAGCCAGGGCCTAGCAAGAGACCTAGGAGTGGAGAACAGTGATTTTTGGTTTATACTTGTAGGTTACTCCCCCCTTTTCGCTTTTTTTCCCATTATGTGTTGCATCATTATACCATTACATTACTTTTGCGTTTTCCCGAAAACTAGTAAATTTGCACTACGACATTTTTTTCTTTCTTGTTTTCGCATAAACCATATCATATTGTATATCACTGGATTTGTCTCAGTGAGATCTATGCAATGTAACTGGTTTTGTTCTGATTGGAGTAAGTATGCTTGAGGTATAACGTTTCAAAAGTCAAGATTTGCTGTGGTTCAGTTAATAATTAGCCAAAATAAACACAGCTGGACTCCTTGTACCAAAATAGTTATTTTGCATTCCCTAGTTGTTCAACTAAGTGGGTACTAAGTGGCAGCTCCACAGTGTATACCCTATTGGAGGTATACGTGACACCACAAAAACGGAGGCGTGGCTGTTATCTTCATAATTATTAAATAACCACACCCCCTTACATTTTTTATAGGTACCTTAGGAGTTAATGTAACCCCATGCCCAATATCATTTGCTGGAAAGGTACTATGAATAAAATATGAATATTTCTACAATATGACCCATTTTGGGTGGGAAACCACCTTAAGTCAGAAAAAACAGCTTTTTGTGTGCTTTGTGGACTTCAAAAAGGCCTTTGACAGCATAAACCACACACTTTTATGGTCATGCTTAAGCAGTATTGGAGTTAGTCGGCGGATACTTGCAGTGGTACAATCGATGTATGCGTCTGCATCCCCGTGTATCAGGATATCCAGTAATGAAGCCACTGATCTATTTAAGTGCCAAAGAGGTGTCCGACAAGGATGTATACTAAGCCCTCTGCTCTTCACCCTTTTCACAGCAGAGTTGGAAAGAGGAATAAAGAAAAACAATGCGGGAATTGAACTCCACAATGGTAATATTTTGGACATAATTATCTATGCGGATGATGTGGTCCTCATTTCCTCAAGTGCAGCAGGTCTAAGGAAACACATAACCACCTTATCAGACTTTTCCCTACGAAGTCAACACAGAAAATAATATGTCTTTGGTGGGGGCAGAAATTCTAATGTATTTTCACTGAACAATCATATTCTGGAAAAAGTACAATCTTACAAGTATCTAAGGATATGGTATACAAAAAATGGAGAGTTTCATGTGGACAAAAAGCACCTAGCCAATCAGGCAAACAAAGGAATGTTTTCATTATTGACGATACTAAGACATTTAGACAACCCCGCATCCCCAATGAAACAATGTTGAAGCCCATATTGTGTTATGAGTCTGATAAATGTGGGGGTACACTGGTGATCAACATCTAGAGAGAGTAGAGCTCTGTTTTCTCAAGCAGATACTACATTTACCAGCATCAACACCTAACATGGCTGTTTATGGTGAGCTGGGCCAGCTCCCTGTTAACCTATGGTGGAAGGAGAGAATACTGAAGTTCTGGAACAGGATTTGCTCAGATGATGCTCCTGCACTACTCAAAGCAGCAAAGTACCTGTCACTGTACAATGCTAGCTGTGAGGGGAAGTGTTGGGTTTCAAATGTGGCCACTCTGTTGAATACTGCCGGTTATGCTACTCCATTCTCAGAGTTCTGTGTTTTTGATCAAAACACGCAAAACACAATTATGTTCACATACCGTGACCAATTTATTCAAAAGTGGCATGCCAATAACGTGAACATAGCCTGACTGGACAAGGTGGAAACAAACTGAGATCATACAGATTATTCAAGAAAGAGTTTGGCATGGAGCCCTATCTTTTGAATATAACTTCAGCAGCGCTCCGAGTTTCTATGACTCGGCTTAGAGTTGGATGCCACAGTCTGGAAGTTGAACGTGGGAGGTACCACAAACCGAAGTCGGTCCCAGTGAGTCAGAGGCTGTGTCACAAGTGCAAATCTGTAGAGGATGAGAAGCATTTCCTATGCGAATGTTCAAAGTATGAAAACCTACGTGACAATCTGGAACAAGTAATACAAGCAGCGTTTCCTGGATATAAAGTGGCTTTCATCAGAGCAGAAATTCGTGTACTTACTAGAATCTGATAATAAGAACATAAATGATGCAGTGGCACATTTTATTCATACCGCTTTCTTATTACATTGTACATAGCTTGACTAATAGCCTCCCTGGCTCCACTTTGTCATTAAAAATTATTATTTTATTATTATTATTATAAAAATCGGCCCGTTGCGACGACTAGGTTGGCTCGCGGACAAATATCCAAGTTTCATCTACATGCTAGCATGTTTGAGGAGTGAATAAGTAATTAGTTGAGGCTATTTGTTGTTGTTTACAAACATGTAGTTGTCATGGAAGTGATGTAATATGCATGTGTGTACCTACGTGCTACCTTTACAAAGTTTGAGAAGTAAAGAAGTCAATTTATTAACCCTCGGCGCGCATGCGCTAGAGGGTTATAGTACTTGGTTCGTAAGTGTGTCTGTCCGTCTGTCTGTTACCACGTTTTCTGCCACCACGCGCAAGAAATCGGCCAAAGAGCGATAGTAACTGGTTCAGTGCTACACTGGCTTCATTTTAAAAAAGGCGATTTTGATATAACTTCTGCGTTCAAAAGTTATGGCGTGAAAGGCAAGTGAACAAGCCAAAATGCAAATTAGCACAGGCTTACCTCGACTGCGTCCGCTCGCTCTGTGTATCTTGAAGGCACAAGAAGTCACAACGAAGGCCATGTATCGACTCCCGCATGCTATCTACTACTGTAGCTAGCCCGCGTCAGACTCTCCGTGAGCAACTAGCGGGATAGCTACCACGAGTAAAGGCATATAAAGCCCAGCCCATCAATTAGTGGTACCGCGCATGCGCAGTTCGCCGAGGGTTTGCACTTTAGTGCTTTTCATTATAATAGTGCCTGAGGCTATTTTTGGTGTTTAGAAGCATGTATTGTTGTCATTTTGATGTTGGTGATAGTGTATAAAAGGTTTCCTTCACATAGCTCTTACCATTTGTGAGTTTCATTATAGTGTTTTGTTTTTGAGTTAAGGGTGTTGAATCTGAAGAAAAGGAGAAGGAGCATATGAACAAAACTCCCTATTATAGCCCCATACATCTATATGATGCTAGGTACCATGCCCATCCCTATAATACTACCGTACTTAGTCATATCATCTCATGCACAATCCCGCAAGACGACCAGATGGGGCTCGCTTTGCTCGCCAAATGCCTTCACTTCCCATTGCGTGTGGTCAGTGAGTTTTGATAGCCAGGATAAAGGTTTCACCTACAGCACACTACGTGGCATTGTAAGCTTCCTACTGCCACCACAGTCTTCCACATAATATCATCCTGCTGCACTGTTCAAGATTACAACTCCATTGGCTTTCATGTGAATTTGCCTTGTTGTGTTTGGCATAGTACATTCCTTTCAAGTGAAGTAGGCTACACTAGACATCTTACTCTTTTCCTGGCAATATGCCCCCACCACTGCATTGCCAGTTCTGAGAATGTAAGATATCAAAACTATGAGGTAAGGCTGAGAATAACAGGAGCCACCAAGGCTAGACCTTTGGAGCTAGTAGTTTCTGTGAAGTTAGTATTTTACCTGAAGTATTTTACCTTTGTTGTATAGTAGTTTCTGTGAAGTTAGCATTTTACCAGAAGCCTGAGTCCCAGGGATATAAAAGTCCCAAAGAGTAGAGAGTTGCTAAAGCTGGAATCGAGGCTTGTATATATACAAGTGGAAAAACCATTTCTTCAAAATGAAGGGGGATGTAGGGATGGTGTAAATTATGAAAAAGGATACCAACAAGAAAGATGCTTCGGCTGAAAACAAAAATCATACATCCATCCCTACATCTTTCTTTCTTCAGCTCTGTCGAAGAATGTGTAGGCACTCAGTTTTGGTGTAGGGTATACTAATTCATAACAAATCACAGTTGAGGTTGTCCCATCCCTCTCTGCGACTTCACCTCTGAACCCTGTCTCATAGGTGGAGGTTAAAGAAAGATGTAGGGATGGATGTATGATTTTTGTTTTCAGCCGAAGCATCTTTCTTGTTGGTATCCTTTTTCATAATTTACACCATCCCTACATCCCCCTTCATTTTGAAGAAATGGTTTTTCCACTTGTTCCACTTACTTTTTTGGCACATGCTCAGCCCCACCCTTTTCGCGGTGCAGAGCGGCAAGCGAGGGGCTGCACGCATTAGGGTTCACACACGCGTGGGTGGAAATTTATGCACTGCATATTTGTGACTTGAAGATTTGATCACACACACACTCACAGTGCATTGTGGGGAAGGGGGGATGGTCGTGACGTAGTTTGCAATTTTGCGCAATTATTGCGTGCGAGACTAGCGGGCACATGCGCAAGTACAAAACTAAACCAACATTCATTATACAATATGCTTTGTTGTGAATTGTGAATGAAAGTTTTTTTCTTTAGGAGGTCTATTCCAGCTGAAGTGAAAGGTGGAGGCCAGGGGTATATAGCTAGTAGCGACTGGGCAGTAGAAGCCAGAAGTTTGTAGGGTTCAGGTTGTAGCTTGAGAGTGCAGTTGCAGTCCAACCCATTTGAACATATAGCACCATCAAACCATAATACAGAGGAGTAGACAGACAATGTAAGGAGTAGAGGCTTACAATAGTTACTGTAACAAAGGCTAGGTTGGAAGTGGGATAAGGGTGAAGGAATGTACAAGTCAGCAGTGGTGATAAGGGAAAACACTTCAGAGCCCCACCTGCCAAGCAACTCCCAGATAATCTTATAATGGCTGGGTATCCTTCCCACTGTCTGTGTTACATCTATAGTGCAGCCATATCAGCAATATTTCCCTTCAACTGGCCAACAGCTGCCTTTTTCTTACCAGGGTCAGCATGATAGGAGGTCCTAGCCACTTACCAGGGTCTGACTGACAAAGGGATCTACCTCTAGCCTTTATATTCTCGGAATTCTGCACATAATATCTACTGCCCTCCTTTTCAAGCGATAAGGCAAAAACTTGAACTTATCTCAAAGGATGGAGAAGCCCGGGTGGCAGTGACGACAGCAGAGCGGTGGTAGAGCGCAGTGGAGGGCCTTGCGATTGAAGAAACAGGGTGAGGTTCTTGTTATCAGCCACGACTGTCAGCAGAGAAGTGTTAGCTAGAGGCCAAGGGATGCAGGAAGGAGAGTTGTCAGGCACCCCTATTAAAATAGGCAATGAGGGTAATGCAGACAACTTGCCTTGAATCATAATTAACTGTGGCCCCAACTCCAGAAACCCAAGCCGCACAGACCTTGGAGTAAATTATACATGATTTATATATATTCGTAATCACAATAGCAAGACTTACTTTTGACCGTGGCGACTCCAGCATAATAGTAGCAGCAGTGCGGACAAGACAGACACGGAGTGTCACGTGGAGGCTGCCTCGTGAAGTCGTGGGGAAAATTCGTCGCGTGGAACCTCGAAAGAAAATTCACAATGAGCTGGATTGCAGCTAGCTAAAGTACACACAATAGTAACTCCTTACCACAAGACGGATAGCTAGGCCCAAATTCGGGAGCAAACTCAGGCGAGCGAAAAACAAGCCGCCAAACGGAGCACACGGCTAGCACCACGCGGTCCGCTCTCCCCTGCCTGGCGCATGCGCACGGCTCACTGGTGCTGAGTTAGCAGCAAATGGCGTCGTTCAGTGTCGACCATGGAAGAGCTCCATGATCTACCGTAGTGAGTTGCGGCAAGAAAGAAACGATCGCTTGATGTCCGTGCACACCTCGGACGAGATTGGAGACGTTCAGTGAACAAATCAGCGCTCCAACTGGTACTGGTAAGGAGAAAGCGGGTCTAAAGAAGAAGAAGAAGAAGAAGAAGAAGAAGAATATGATGACACGAAAATCAGAAATCGCGTATGAGCGGATTCTCGTGTCGAGAATTGCAGGGACATATGAAACTTCTGGGCATATGTATAGGTAGATATGGACCCGTGAGAGATTTTTGGTGTGTTTTGAGGGCATAGCTAGCCATTCTCGCCGAGTTTCGAGGCGTTTTGTACGCGGATCACGTGAGATTTCACTCGTGTCATCCCTACATAGAGCGTCTACCGACGCTCTGATAGAACATGGCTGCCTTGTCTAATGTGTTGCATTCCCTGCTGCTGGTTCTGTCAGTGACAAGAGGAGGTTTCTCCCAGTGTTACACAGGGACTGGGTGTACAGGAAGTGTTGTTCCAGCAGCGAGTCAGGGGGAGTGCTGTACTGATACTGACAATGGCATGGCCTTTTTGGATGCTGGAATCTGCACTCAGTGCACAGGTAAGTCACAATAAAGAGTCGTTGACCTCACCCACTTTTTTGTTCGCTTATCGTACTATAATAACTCATAGGGGGCTGTGAACTCAAAATCACCTCATTTAGGTCACTGATTCACGCAATCATTCACTTATGTTGATTAGAGAGGCAGAGATGTAACACAGATAAAACTATGGGTGTAGCCACTGTTTACAGGCTTCTATTTGTACAGGATGAATGTGAGCTTTGCATGAGTTGGAATTTGCCTTGATATCAAGTAGAAACTTTGACACTGTATAAGTCACAAAATAGTGGAATGCTAGCATAAGAATGCCAATGGTAGAAAACAAATACCGTAGCCATAGCGGGATATTTTCGCTGGTGCAAAATTTCGCGAAATCGCCTCCAGAAGAAATTTTTGTGGTTTATTATTTCGCGCTTAAACCGCGCCCGCGGATAGCACATGCGATCGATTTTTGTGACTGATTTCCGCCAAGTACTTTGTCTTCCAGGTATATACGTATCGTGAACTGCTTCAAGTCGGCGTGTAACTCCTGCGAGAAACGACGCTTTGCAGCCACAATTCCGTGCATCGATGCGTACTGCGCTACCGTAAACTTTGCGTAGGTTCCCCTATTCGCTGGCTGCTGCGTTGCGACGCTGCTGACGGCCTCATTTGCTTCTACTATAGTGGAGGAGGTTAAACCTTAGAACAATTACGATTATGACTCCAACTCACCATTTTTTGCGCACGTTGAACTGTAATGGAAGCGAAGAAACCCTGCTTGACTGTGATCATACTCGAATTGGATATCGCCGGTGCATTTCTTATGTCAACGCTGCTGTTGCTTGCTTCAATGGTAACGAGACCTGCACCTACTAACAGATTTCGTACACATCAGGATTAGGTCTTTTAGTGCAATTAAAAACATGCAGAAACAAATTGTGAAGATGGATAAATGCGTTTGGTTAGTGGCAATGACACAGCAGGAGCTGTTCAAATTTGCAGACGTGGTGTGTGGGGTGTGTGTGTGCCATTACCATAATGCCAGTGATAGACTGCACAAGAGCCATTGGCTTTGATCACCCACTCTACTTTTCTTCATCCCTTCACTGTCTTTAATACCTCACACAACGTTAATTAGCAACAAATTTGTAGGCAATTATGTCTCCACTGGTCTCCAGATGCTAGATGCAGTAATGGAGAACTACGTCTAGCTCGTGATGACCGACCAACAATAGGACGACTTGAGGTGTGCTTCGATGGTGAATGGACCAGAGTATGTCCCGAGGCCCTTGGACATAATGAAGTTAAGGTTGCTTGCGGACAACTTGGATATTCAAGAGGATGTAAGCAGCATTTTTAAACAAATAACTCACTACTAAAAATAATTGCTCTTTCATGTACAGTTTTTAAAACCTATCAAGATTATGATACTGACGGGCACTCACCAACTTTGCGCACGTTGAACTGTAATGGAAGCGAACAGGCCCTGCTTGACTGTGATCATACTCGAATTGGATATCGCCAGTGCAATTCCTATGGCAATGCTGCTGTTGCTTGCTTCAATGGTAAGGAAACCTGTACCTACGGTTTAGATCTTTTAGTGCAATAAAATGTATAAAACATGCAGAAACTGATTGTGAAGATGGAGAAATGCGTTTGGTTGGTGGAAATGACATTGCAGGAGGAGTTGAAATTTGCAGACGTGGTGTGTGGGGTGTGGTGTGTGACCATTACTGGGACAGCAATGATGCCAGAGTTGTCTGTAGACATCTTGGACTACCATCAGAATGTGAGCAACATAATATCATATTATTTACAGAGTGTCAGTTGTTCATAAGGGTTTCTCTTCAACCCCTTCAGTTCCAAGAGCGATTCCAAGATTTTTGGAAGTTGGTAGTGGTCTTGCATATTCTCAAAGGCTAGTCCACCAGAATAATGTGCAGTGCAGTGGGGATGAAGACTCACTCATCGACTGTCCTTACAACACTGACGGAACTAGATACTGCGGTGTTGCTGGTGTTATGTGTTCAAATGGTAATATTTTGTAGCTAGCCCTTTACCCACTGTAGTAAGAAATATGAAATATGCTATGATAGCTGGCTGTATAAACAGATTGCTAATCATTTCAATAGCAACTGTTCGATTTCAGAGGCTGAATGTGAAAGTGGAGACATACGTCTGGCAGGTGAAGGTGCCCAATCAGGCTATGGACGTGTGGAAGTGTGCGTCAATAGCACTTGGGGGACAGTTTGTGACGGTGACTTTGATGTGTATAGTGCTCAGGTTGCCTGCAGACAACTTGGATTTCCCACTGCTTGTAAGGCACATTAATACGCAACCATAATGTATAAAAACAGGCAAGTAGGTACTTTACTCAAACTCACCAGCGATTTATTGCCTTTCATCTTAAATAGTGGTGGTTTTACTTGTTAAATGGCAACTAAACAAGAGCTCCATAATGTAATAAACGTAAAGTAATGCAAAGTCCCTTTGCTACTTTTTACCTGTTTGAGTAGTTCCTACACAAATTGTAAACGTGGATGGAGACGGAGAAGGACCAACACACATGGATAATGTCAGGTGCAGTGGAAGTGAGGATTCCCTGTTTGACTGTCAACATGATGGACCAGGAGCGCACAGATGTTATGGACATTTACTTGACGTTTTCATTAATTGCTCAAGTAAGCAACATGTGTGTGATAGTACTTAGCTATCCCAATTCCCTGGACTCCCACTCCCCCATCCTCCCTCCGCATTTGCAATTTATTTGTGATGACATTTAACCTCCCCCTCGGCTCCTTTCTCCACCATTTTAATAAACTATGCACCTAATTTAGAACTTGTTTAATATGGTTTCCTGCTCACAAAATGGAAAAACATTAATGATGCCAAGTACAGTGGAAGTGAGGTTTCCTTATTTGACTGTCGCTCACACATGTGACACATGCATGAACTATGCACCTAATTTAGAACTTGTTTAACAAAATGAGGCAGGAAACATACCCATGTGATAATCACACTCTATTACACATTCTCTTCAGTGATACATTACAAGATCGACGATTGTTTATTGATTTGTCTTCTAGAGGAAAACATATGTGAAGATGGAACATTTTACTGCTGGTACATAGAAGGCGGGCATTGCTCATCGAATAACTACTTGTGTGACTCTTTTGCAAGATGCTCTAATGCTCATGATGAGGCCAACTGTAGTGAAGGTATGTAATACTCTCTCTAGCACAGTAAGGGAGACTTGTTTATCGCACAAAATAAGCTATTAATCAGAATGCATATTGAGGTTACTGTAGAAAAATGTCCTCTGGAGACTAGAAGATTTTTATTGTGTAATGACGACAGAAGAGACATTATCCTTGTTTCATCTTTCAGTTATGTCATTCCTTAATATTAATGATTTATGCCACTTCTAGTAGCTGGAGATAAGACAGTGTGTCGATTTTAATTTTTACTAGACCACAGAGGAATTTGGCAGCTCACTCTCTCTAGCAGATATTCTGGTTGAAATTCATTCACCTCACTTCAATGTCATTTGTTCTTCATTACGTAATCCTAGTTACATGCAGAGAGGGCACTGTTCAGTGTCGCGGTGATGCACTTGCTCCCTGCATCTACTTGTCTGACATATGTGATGGAAGAGATGACTGTGGTGATGGATGGGATGAGGAGAATTGTACTAACACAGGTAACTACTGTTGAAGCTATAGTGGAGGAATGGCAGATTTGGAATTGCCCAATTCTTCATTTACCTCACAAATACGAAAAAGTGATGTAATGCAGTTACTCTTAAACCAAACCTTATGATCAACGTTTTCCCTGTGAAAACGAGACCAAAAAACCGTGGATTATTGGTATAGGAATATTATACTGCTAACCTTCCCTAAACACCCGTCAGCCGTTTCGACAAGTGAAAATTAAATGGACATTGTTATCGTATATCACTGAAATAGTAGTGATATGTAACAATGTAGCTATTAGGGTGTTGATTAACACACCAGTCTTTGTGTTTCTACACGTAACACCTACCACTACACAAGCACCTTAGCTAATTGTAAGGGGAACTAAATTGACGTCTCCTTGGCAGCCTTTATCAGAGGGCTCTTTGCCTTTACTCCAAATCTGGCCTTTAAGCTCGTGAAAGCAACCAGCACTCAATCTTTATTTTTACACCTGATATTTTTGCATCTAACGTCACCTACTTTGTCCCTTTCCCTACAGTTTTTGGGTTCAGTTCAACATCATACACAGTTAGTGAGGGAGATGAGTCTGTAGGGCTTACAATAGACCGACTGAGTGGCAACATCTACCGTAAAATCCCCTTTTACCTGCTTTATTATCTTGGAACTGCAAATGGTAAATATGCACATCTCCACTTCATTAACCCTCGGCGCGCATGCGCAGCCAGGGTTACGGTACTTGGTCCGTATGTTTTTCTGTGTGTCTGTCTGTCTGTTACCACGTTTTCTGCCACCACACGCAATGAAAGAGCGATACCAAAAAGTTAAGCGCTATTCCGGCTTGATTTTAAATTTGGCGATTTTCATATGGCGTGAAAACCAAGTTAACATATATGCTAATTAGTATTCACTTACCTCCACCGGATTTTGTTGCTCTCTATGTATCTACGGAAGCATGCCATAAACGGAAGACTAGTGTCGAGTGCAGCGAAACCTAAACGCTAGTTTAGCTAGCGAAAGATAAATCTAAAGACTAAGTACAGCTAGCTGAGAGGGTATCCCGGCTCCACCAACCGCGGGTAATTATACCAATCCCTCCGCGCCTGCTTATGTTACACTGGCGCACGCGTTAGTGATTTGCACGTGTATGCGTCGAACATGCGTAAACACTGAACTCAGCTGTGGCTTCATTCGTCCTTGTGCGGTCCGTGGAAAGCTACCCGTATAATGGATACCAACTCTTAGCAATGCTATCCTCGCACGCGTTTTACAGAGCCTTTTTTCCTTCAGCCTTTCAGAGCACGCATTAGCTATATAACAGCCCTTGTTCCCAGGTCGAATCAGTATCTCCGACTTTTCAGGATACTTCTGATACTAGAGCCATTCATTCGTGATGTTGATGTTCTCAGTCCTGGAACAAAATTGTTGTATGATTTGTCTCATTTTCGCGTGATCATGGTTGTGTTGTGTACTTGTGATTTGATGAGATGATGATGGTTTCTGTTGTTTGATATTCATGTTCCTAGCTATATAGGCTTTAGGACATGTTCACTGTTTATTCTCAGTTCAGGCCTGCTTTATAAAGCCAGCCTCGGTCTTCTAAACATGTTCATTGGCCTAGAGTCACACACTCTGATTGTGACACTAGTATTGCTAGACTAAGCTATGGTGATTAACGCATACACATAGCCCAACCCACATGTGTGGTACCACACCGCCAGGGTTTTGCACTTTTAGTACTTTTCATTAGGAGGGCAATGGATAAATTTCTCCTTCCTCCTTCCTTCATAATGCTGCTTTTGATGACAGAGAGTGATTATTATACTGATGATTATTACTCTGTGCTACAACCTGGAGAAACGAATGTGACAGTCGAGGTCCCTATAGTGAATGATGACGAAGTTGAGGACAAAGAGACATTCACCGTCTCTATTGTGACATTTTACGGCTATGAAGCGCATCCTGATTTCACGACAGCAACAGTCACCATTATTGACGATGACTGTAAGTCTCAAACCTTTCATAGATCATAATTAATGTTCCCTGCTCGTGTGATGATTGTAGTTTGTCCTTCTTTGGAGGACATTACGCATGGCTCAGCCACAGTTACTGGTGTTTTGCCAGGATCTATTGCCGTCTACTGTTGTGACAATGGTTTTGAGTTAGTAGGAGAGTCAGTCAGAAGGTGCATGAGCAACCTGAGATGGAGTGGAAACAGTACAATTTGCAGACGTAAGTATTAACCGTTTGAGCCTAGTAGTTCTTCCATCAGCAATCTATTTGTCCTTTTGGTTTCTTTTAGCTCACTGTCCTAATCTATACGACCCTGACCATGGGTCTGTGTCAGCGAATGGACTCTCTATTGGACACACTGCCAACTACTCTTGCAATGATGGCCATGAACTTGTAGGAGATGCAACCATAACATGTCAAACTGGTGGAGTCTGGAGTAGCAAACCCCCTGTTTGTATAGGTAAAATGTTACATCTGTTTTGAAATATGAATGATTTTACCCACAGCTTCCTGTCCGGCACTAAGTCATCCCGAGTTTGGTTCTGTGACCGTAACTAAAGCATTTCAAAACTTTGTGGCCATTTTCAACTGCAACACTGGGTTTGGTCTCTTTGGAACACCACTTCTCACATGTCAGAATGGAACTTGGAGTGACAAGTCCCCTGTGTGCAAACGTAAGCACAGTTGTTTTACCATCTGCACATTGTTGTTCACCTCCATTTCTCCAGCCTCATGTCCCTCTGCTGCCACAGCCTCTCCCTGTACCACACCACCACCACCACAAGTGACAGGTTTGAATGATAATGTGTGAATCCAAAGATCAAATTGTGTTCTTTACAGGGAATGTGGAGAATGTTCGAAGCCCTGGTTGTGGTAGGCTGGAGTGGGATGCTCCAGATGGAGGTGTTGGGGGACTCTCCTACAAGATAAGGTTCTACAGTGGCCAGAGTTTTGGTTCCACTCCCTCATCCCAGAGGATTGTCCTCTCCTCTCCTACTAACTCTCTCTCCTTCACTGACCAGGATGTACCAACCCAGCGTCCTCTTTATGCTATTGTGAGCTACAGAGTATCTACTAGCACCTTATTAAACCTCGCTTGTTTTAACTCTCTAGATCAAAGCTAGAAACAGCAATGGTGTGCATTCATCTTCTTGGTCAACACCAATAGTAACAGCAGGTAGGTTTTTAAATTACAAAGAGAGCTCAACAGAATAAGTGTTCTTGTTTTTCATTCCAGAGAACGAGTATCCTTGAGAGACAAAGCATGATCCATCATTGCTCTAATTTGCGAGCGGGAGCGAGCCAACCTAGTCGTTCGTTCGAGCGGAATTTTCTGTTTATATAATATTATCGTCTTTCGTACGTCGTGTAAGTGCGCATGCGCGGCTTTGTACGCGCTTCTTCACGCAGTTTCACACCCGGTGCCTCGCGATATGCGCCGATCGACGATCTAGCCAGCTAGAGAACTCTCCTCCATTCGACGGCATGCACTACAACCTTCGGTGACTGACCGCGGCTGTACCTCTCCCCAATCTTTATGGTTCCAAGGTGCAACTTGCAAATACGCCTAGGATTGCTCGTGCACGTACTGCTGCATGCCAGCTGCCTGGTGGACCACGACTGACGACTTGAAAGCATAAGGTAAGTACCGTCTGCTCACCTGCTCACCGTTCTGCCAATGTACAATACGCATAATTATAACGGCGACAGGCACGTAGATCTGTCTTGCTTCACGAAAGGAAAGCTGTGCGCTGACGGCACGTTATACAGCCGGGGCCAAGTTGGGTCGCTCCCGCTCGCCAAGAATGTTCACCATTTCTAGTACTGCTAGTGGTGATTGCATGTCACTACAGTGACATTACTAGTAGGCGAATGCATGGCATTTTTGGCGAGCGGAAGCGCGCTTACAATTGGGGTCTAATCGTATGAGTCACTCTTGTGTGTGCACAAAACAGTGAGATACATTGCACAGGACCAAGTAGGCCGAAACGACCCGAGCGCAGTAGACAATTCGAGTCGAGTCAAAAACAGTCAGACGACAGCGCGAATCAGGCATAATCCGGCAATCTGATTGGTCTTGCAGGAATAGGGAACAAGTGGCAATGTAGAAAAATCCCTCGCTGGACTGTGCAGCAATACTCGATAGCTTCGGAGGTGTTGCGTTTCCCCTGATTCCGCTCAGCATTATGAAAATGTTCAAATCCCTTTCGTATAAAAAGAAGCGTGTAATGCTGGAGCATGAGCAGTTGGACGACGTACGGTGACATATATAGAAAAATCGCTCCGTTCGGGCCACTAGGTTAGCTCGCTTCCGCTCCCTCGGCGCGCATGCGCAGCGAGGGTTACGGTAGTTGGTTTGTCTGTCTGTGTGTGTGTGTGTCGACGCTTATTCTGGCACTACAGGCCACGAGGTGGCTAATGAGTGATACCAACGGCTTCAGAACTACGCGAACCTGAAGAATTATTAAGCGATTTCCTGAAACGACTGCGTTCGAGAGCGACAAACTGGCACGGTCGCGGACCGAGTTCCGTGGCCCAACACATCATTAACGGTGCGCATGCGTATAGACGCGATCAACGCGCATGCATGCTGGCTCCACCTCAACCTGATCCGCTTGCTCTGTGTACCTTGGAGGCACACGAAGCCACAGCGAAGGGCGTGTATCGACTCCCGCATGCTATCTACTACCGTAGCTAGCCCGTGTCGATTCTCCGCGAGCTACTAGCGGGAGACCGCGGGTAAACGCCAATAGCCCAGCCCAGCCATTAGCGATACCGCTCATGCGCAGTTCGCCGAGGGTTGCACTTCAGTTCTTTTCATTATTCGGCAAGTGGCAAAGTAATTTCTTTAAAATGATGGTGGATATAGGGATGGCTTAATTGAAGCACCAAAAAGGAAGAAACAAGGGGTCATTACACAGCAAATGTGCACAAAGCTACACATGATACCATCCCCATATATTACCCTCTATGATATTTGTCAGATATTATTAATTTTTGCCTATGGAATAAACAAAGATGATGGATGGTGATATGTAAGCTAAGTTTTCTGTGCAATGACCCCATGTTTCTTCCTTTCTGGTGCTTAAAGCCATCCCTATATATCTTGAAGAAATGGTTTTTCCACTTTTTCCAGTATTATTCTAAAGAAAAGGTATATATGATGACACTACATTCTATGATAACAGTCATGGGTATTATTATTATTTCCGCCTTATTGAATAGACGAGGACAAAAAATAATGGGAAAGATGATATGAAATAGAGCATGCACCGAAGGAGCACCAGACAAGTACTCTATCCTGGTGCCCTAGAACTGAGAGGAGGAGAGTGTGTGCACTATAGACATCCTAGAACACTTTGGACATGGACATTGATAGTGATAAGAGCATGGGCTTGTACTGTCAAAGTGGGATTAGAATTTCATCCAGAATAGTCTATGGAGATGGGCCTTTATAGTAGAGATGGAGAGTTAGGGGTTATTGGGGGAAGAGAGTTCCAGAGCCGTGGTAGACGATTGAACGAAGGGATGACCTTTCGTGGTTGATTTTGACAGGAAATGTTTTAGTTTGAGGTGAGATAAGGACCGAGTGTTACAACCAGAAAATTTGTATATACGAAAGAGTGGATGGAAAATTCTTGGGTGGTGTCGGGGTCCTTGAGGCAACGAATGAAAAACATGATGTTAAGAAGTTCTAATTGCATCATGAAAGGTAGAAAGTTGAGTCGTTTCCCATAGTTAGAGTTGTATAATAGTCATTACACTCGGTGCAGCGAGCAGCGAGTGTACAGTAGTTGGGTCTGTGTTTCTGTGTCTATGTGTCTGTTACTCAACATCTCACTTCTCCAATGTTCGTTCGTCTCACAAACGATACGACCTACTTAACGGGCAATGAATGTCATACATTTCAAACGGTTTTCTCTGAAAAGGCTCCATTGCAAAGATAGAGCGCTTCCAGCATTGTATGGCTAATGCCCGTAGTCGCCATTTTTTATCGCTGCGGAAAATGCGCATGCGGTAATATGCTCACCTGGACCCGGACGCTTGCTCTGTGTATCTTGAAAGCACAAGAAGTCACAACGAAGGGCGTGTATCGTGCTATCTACTACTGTTGCTAGCCCGTGTCAGACAGCTCTCCGCGAGCTACTAGCTGAGACCACGAGTAAACTCATATTCAATTACTACATACTGTAATAGCCCAGCCCATCAATTTAGTGGTACCGCACATGCGCAGTTCGCCGAGGGTTTGCACTTTAGTGCTTTTCATTTATACAAAACATCATGAAGGTGTCTGATTGCAATATCTATATAATTATGCATAGAGAAGTTACTTACTTTGGCATGTAGCAGCAGATCCACTCCATGTGCCACTACTTTGACAAACACGCTCTGACATGCAGACCAGATTGAAACCATCCTCGAACACAGATAGTGCAGAGTCTTGATAAATACCAGTTCCAGATATTAGCAGTGAGCCATTCACGGGACTTCCAACGGGAGGACACTGGACAGCTGTATTTAAATAAGCCAAGTCCACACTGAGCTAGCCTGTGACAGTAACATGCTTACCCTCGCATACAGGAGTGTTGCCACTCCACTGGCCCTCAGGACCACACGTCAGTAGTGAGTCTCCAACCAAATTGAAGCCAGTGTTACATGTGTACTCTGCTGTCTGTCCAAAAGTGTCTCCACTCAGGTTCACATTTCCATTTGCAGGATCATTCAGAGTGGGGCACACAACAACTGAGTGGAAAGAAAGATGAGTGCCAATTGTCAAGCTAAACCTATTTACTCTGATATGTAGGTGCAGATCCACTCCACGTGCCACCAATTTGACAAACACGCTCCAGCGAACCAGATTGAAGCCAGTTTCGCATGCATAATTATGTTGCAGTCTCCTGGTAAACACCAGCACTGCAGACTGAAAATGTTTTGATAAATTACACCAAACAGCTAAGGGACTAGGGGAGTTTCACTCACATTAGCATAAACAAAGGTTTTTAGACATAAGTATAATTATACAACAGTAATGCTAAATATTAGTTGCAACTATCATACAGAACTATTAAAATATTTATAAACTGTCTGTTTGTTATCATCGATTGAACTAAGAGACATCAATTCAATTGTATCTGTGCCTTTTCTGCAATTGCCACAACTCTTAGAGATTGTTAACTTCAGAGCAAAGAAACAATAGCCTGACACGATCCCACAGATGGTAATCAAAAGTCCACAAAATGCAACAATTTCTAGTTTAGGTACATAATCATACTCATTTTGCCTATCTGATATCATACAATTTTCATTAATTACTGGTGTAAGTGGACATTCCCCAGATATCTTTATGTGGGGACAATACAACTCTAACAAAGATATAATCAACTTTCCACACCATTGTGTCTGTTTCGACTGCTGATATTTTCAGCAGCGACTGACCATCGCTCATTTGCACTTTGAATGGAGACTTTACAATTGTCTCATAAAAGATGTTCCACTTGTGACCGCCATTGAATTCTTCTGTTGTATTAATTAATGACCACAGTAAAGTCTCATTGATTGATACATTGACAGTGTCAGCCGGCCCATCATTGGAATAGGTGACACTGAGTAGTAGCAAATAGCAGGTGTTTTTAGTGTCGCCCAAGTGCAACCGTAGTTGATCAATCAATCTTCATCTTATACAGAGTCACAGCAACCCCACCTGAAGCCTCACTTCTAGGTGCGTTCGACCTCCATTTCCATTCTCAAGCCTCCAGAGGCAAGGAAACACTTATACTGAGCTGAGACATAATGTATTCCAAACAGAATTAGTGAAAATGTTGCTGCACGTTTGAGCATCGGTCCTTACTCCTTTGTTTCTTCCAATTATAGTTAGAACTAGGAGCTCACTACGGAGACCTAGAGAGCACGCGAATGGCGAGTGGGAGTGTCACAAGAACTGACGAGGGCGTAACGCGCGCGTCGAAAAGTCGAGCTGCAAACGCGTGAGGTGTATAATATAGCTACGTAATCGGCGTCTGATGGTTCTGCTAACCATGCAGTAGAACCAGTCGATCCTATCAGCCGGCAGAGACATTTATGACATGTCTCAGTCAATCCGGACTTTTTTCTTTTTTCTTTTTAGAAGAAAAATAATTATGATGACACGAAAATCGTGAAATCGCGTATGAGCGAATTCTCGCGTGGACGACTTAATTAAAAGATTCCGGAGAATTGTGCGTGGGCGTATGTTTCAGATTTTTGGTCCAATTATTATTGATTGATGCACACACACCAGTAAAGGTGTAGAATAGACAGACAACATAAAAAAGAATAGAGAGAAAGTGGAGAGCAGAACACGGCCTTCTGGACTCTATCCCGTCGCCAACCGAGGGTTTAATTAAGGGCTCCTGGACCGACCGCAGAGCACTCACCATGGTAATGACTACAAAGAGGACAAATGAGAAATGATACCTTCACAGGGAGAATGAAGACCATAAAGATGTCTGGAGATGTCTAATAAAAGAAGCTGTAGTGAAGTCAGAATAGTTATAATCAGAAAGATGTTGAATGCCATAGAAATGATTATACCCAGTGAAAGAATAAACGACTTGGGATGAAACTATAAAAACAGAACGAATGAAAAGCACTAAAGTGCAAACACTCGGCGAACTGCGCATGTGCGGTACCACTAATTGATGGGCTGGGTTATTTATGCCTTTACTCGTGGTATCCCGCTAGTAGCTCGCGGAGAGTCTGGCACGGGCTAGCTACAGTAGTAAATAGCATGCGTGAGTCGATACATGCCCTTCGTTGTGACTTGTTGTGCCTTCAAGACACACAGAGCGACCGGACACGGTCGAGGTAAGCCTGTGCTAATTTACATATTGGCTTGTTCACTTGGTTTTCACGCCATAACTTAAAACACAGTAGTGTTACGAAAATCGCCTTTTTTAAAATCAACCCAGTGTAGCACTGAACCCGATCATATCGCTATTTACCTGATTTCGTGCGCGCGGTGGCAGAAAACGTGGTAACAGACAGACAGACAGACAGACAGACACACTTACGGGACAACTACCGTAACCCTCGCTGCGCATGCGCGCCGAGGGTTAATTAAAGATGAGGACGATGAAACAGCAGTAGACAACAGGGAGCAGAAACGACTGTAGCTACACCATAGAAGATATTGTATCGATCTGAGCAACACAATGGACAATAGCTGAATAAGAATTGCGGAGTAAGTTCCAGAGTTTACGTAATAGTTTATTCAAAGCGACTTCAATAACCCTGATGGAGGACGACGAGAGTGACCTTAAAGAGCAGCCATACAAAGATAGGCAAAAGGACTTTAGCAAATAGCACTTCACAAATGGGTCAGCTGCATGAAAGGCACAGAGTAGATAATTGGCCTTACGATTCAGATCTTTGACAACTCTGAGAATAATTATGCCTACTGTAATTTAGATCAGATGTGAGAATGTGACCAAGATGAGTAACTTCATTAGAATAGCGCAGGACGTGGTTGTTGAATATGAAGACAGGAGAACTAGGACGGGTATGACGAAGACGAAAACAAATAAGCTCAGTCTTTTTCAGCATTAAACTTGAGACCATGAGTAAACGCATACGAAGAACATATGTTTAGCAGAGTTCTAAGTGCCGATGCACAAGGAGCCAGCAACACAATGTCATCAGCATAACAAACAGAACCAGCAAACAAGTTGCCCCAATGACAACCAACACCAGAAGCAGCCAATTTCTGAAGCAAACGATCCAAATACACAGAAAACAAGACAGGAGAAAGGACACCACCTTGCCTGACACCATTAGACACTCTAAAAGATTCAGAGAATGACTGTTCCCAACGCACTTTCATCCTTTGGTTACTGTACCAGAAAGACAGAAAACGAACAACTGGGAGAGGTAAACCACGATCAATGAGTTTTTCAAACAAGAGACTATGATCAACGAGGTCAAAAGCCTTGCTTGCATCAAGAAAACAACCATAAACTGAAGAACCATTATGAATGTAATGTGAAACAACATTCTTGACAACACCAGAACACAAAGTGGTGGAAAAACCAGGTTTAAAACCAAACTGCAGTGGACTAGAATAAAGATAGGCAGAATACTTAGTCATGATGAGATGCTCCAATATTTTACTTAAGCAAGAAGACAAGGCTATAGGACGATGGTTTACACTGCAGGTAGCATCCTTATTCTTCTTGGGTACTGGAACAAGAACAGAGTCACGCAGACACTGAGGCATAAAACTGTGACGAACAAGTGAGCTGAAGAAGATGGCAAGAGGTGCCACAACAGCTGATGATGCATAAATCAAGTGCTCGGAAAATATCCCATCCCCGTCTGATTTGCCGCTATATATTAAGATGAGAGAGAGCATCCAAGATCTCATCCTCAGAGAATTCCACATCACATATATGAGAGGCAGTCACTGAAGATTGGATGGAAGACTGAAGAGAGATGTGAGGTGACGACGAAGAGTGTGTATTGAGAATGTCCTCAAGCTTTGAAGCAAACGCATTAGCAATATTGCTACCACCAGCTACTCCATCAATAACAGGGGCAAATGAAGATGAAGAACTCTTTAGTTTTCTTACATCAGACCAAAATGAGGACTTTTTATTCTTAGCAAAAGAGTAAGCAAGCTTCTTTTGGAGCAAAGAATTTTGCCTGCGTATAAGACGACGAACCTCATACTTATACCGTCTCTTTACATTTTTCTTTATTTGTGATAAGACACCAGAAGATGGACAGTCAGACTCCTCCCAGATCTTGTACCAGAACATTGATGATTCTTTCAATCTATTAACTGACTGAGTCCAACCAACAAGTCTTCTACGAGTGATGGAGGCTGAGCGAGTAGGAAAACAAGCGAGAGCACACGTGAGCAAGGTAGAGATGAGACGAGAGCCATAGGTATCCAATACAGTACGATGAGCAGTACAGGAGGGTGATGAGCATTCCAAGACTTCAGATGGTAAGGTGGGTATATGCATAGAGACCATTGAGCAATACTTCTCAATACAAGATGGTGTGACCCTTGACCAATCGACACGCTGCAACGGATTAGGAGACAACGACTGACTCTTTGGAACCGGAGTTAAGTCTGCTTTTATTGAGAAAAGTAGTGGGAAGTGGTCAGACAAAATACAGCCAGAATGAATTGCATGTACATCTGACACTAAAGAACACGAAGGCTGAGAGCATAAAATATGATCGATCCAAGAACGGCAGAGACCATCATCACGCTCATACGTAAACTTGACCTCATCACGGAAAGAAAGATCACAACAAAACAGACCAAGATTAGACATAAACTCACACAACAATTTGGAACGAGGACTAGAACGATCAAAATCAACATTAAAATCACCAACAACGAAATCATTATCACAGTCATTGCGAATCCCTCCAATTCTCCCAAAGTATTTAAGTATTCAGTGTAAGAAGAAGGACCAGGCATGTAGATACTGATCAACAAGGAAGTAAAGCCAGTAGAATCACAAAATTTGACAGCACAAAAACGATTAGAACAAGTTTCTAAAGAAGAAATGCACGAAGCTAAGCACTTCCGGTACAGGATAGCGCAACCACCGAATGGTCTACCAAAAAGAAGCTCAGAATTATCCATGCCACTCACACCAACTGAGAGGAAATCAGGACTAATTTCATGAATTTTATGTAACTGATCGTTTAATAGCCAATGCTCTTGAACAAAACAAACATCAAGTGAATTGATAAAGTTATTAAGAGTATGAACACCACTATTCCAACCTCTGCAATTGAAAGAGCAACATCTAAGCTGAGCCATCATTGCTTATGGAGCTACCCTGAGCAACAGAAAAGGATGAAGAAGAAGGATGTGAGGGAGGTTGAGATACAGCACAAATTGGCAGAGGGCACTGTGAGGAAGCTTCAAACACGGCTGGTGAGACAGAACACCTACTGCACTGGGCACTGCTTGCAAGAGTGTAAGAAAGTGCTTGAGTGGGACCAGCTGAAACAGCACAGCTTGTAGATGAGCTGCAAAAGAACTAACAGGAGCGTCCACAGAGGGGTCACCAGGACTCCAGGAGGAGTTGTCTCAGGAGATGCAATGGGCTTCCTTGCACGCAATTTGTGATCGGGAGGCACATCCTCACGCAAGAATAGGTGCTTTATACGAAAGTCCTTTAATGCAGTCTTCCGAAGTAAAACAAGCTTACGATCCCAAGCAGTGCACAACTTAATTAGAATCGGACGTGGACGAGAGAGGGAGGAAGTCGACCGTACATACTTTCCTAATCGAAACATATCCTTATAATTTGAACTGATTTGCCAGAAACAAACTCAAATATTTCATCAACAACCTTCTTTGACTCTACAAGGGACTTCCCCTCAGGCAACCCAAAGAGCATAATATTACTTGCACGCTCGTCAGCAGAAGAAGACCTCTGGGGAGTAAAACGTTTATGTGAGACCACTGAAGAGGAACGTGTAGCAACAGGAGAAGGAGCAGAAGAGGCAACGGTGGCATAACTGACAGGTGGCTGAGCACCACAGGCAGCATCTGGAGAGGCACAAGGAACTAAGAAAGTGGAAAGCTTCGTTTCGAGGCCCTCAATTACAGATGAAAGGGCATTCAACGCCTGCGAGTTAGAATGTACCTGCTCAGCAACTGGATCAAGAGAAAGAGGAGGAATCCTGTGCAGCTGAGGAGCCTCACAGTAGATAGTGGGAATAGTGTCAGACGAATCCAAAACTTTTAATGCTTGAACAATATCATCAAGGTTGGCTACAAGTTGACTACGATTGTCTGAATCACGACGTGCGTGAAACACCAAACCGTTAGCCTCAAGCTCACAACTACAGTGATCCAACAAAAGCCTCTTAGCAAACTCTACATCATTATTACAAAACCACTCACCCACAATTCTTCTAAGGGTGTCTGTGTCACCCTTTAGACGGTAGGCCACCACAAAAGAGAGAACAGTGTTGACCAACAAGGGTTTGTGCCTAACAGCACCAGAGAAAGGAGTCGAACCTGTGTTATCTACTGAAAAACCCGACTGAGTGGACTGAGTGGAATGAGAGGAAGGTAAACAAGGTCTGTAATTTCCAGAGACAGAGTCACCCTGTACAGCATCTGAAAGGGTGCCAGTAGAGTTGTGGGATTCTGACTGACTGGCACAGCAAAAACGCTAGTGATTTATGGTGAATTTAGGTATATTTCTCGGATTTTTCCTACCTTGGTTTCCAAACTTATTAGCATATTCATATTCCTCCTCAATACATTCTCTATGGGAGAGAAGACCCGTGCGCGACTCACCCAGGAGCGAACGGTCCGTCTCCATTATGCGGTTCATTATGCGGTTCTTTCTGCCTCCTGCGGGCGGCGTATTAGAGCCGTCCCGAAAAATAGGCGTGGCCAAGTTTTGAGCATTACGTTTTCACGTTGACCTTTGCCACCCGGTCACGCCCTTTTTTTTCTATAGCGAAACCCGCGTACCGAAGCAGCAGCAGGCAAAGAAAGCCACTGCGCATAATGGAGACGGACCGTTCGCTCCTGGGTGAGTCGCGCACGAGTTTTCTCTCCCATAGAGAATGTATGGAGGAGGAATATGAATATGCTAATGAGTTTGGAAAACAAGGTAGGAAAAATCCGAGAAATATACCTATACTAGTAGGCGAATGCATGGCATTTTTGGCGAGCGGGAGCGAGTACACAATGAATGACTGTCTCGACGGCAATTCGCCTTGTCTGATAGCTTAGGATCTGTTCGGATCCCTGTGAAGGTATCATTTCTCATTTGTCCTCTTTGTAATCGTTATTTTGGTGAGTGCTCTGCGGTCGGTCCAGGAGCCCTTAACACGTTTTGTAGTGTCTTTAGGCCACATTTCACATAATTATACAAGAGCCTTCAGGTATAGTTATATTATACTGCTTTGCATTCTCATAAACACTATGCTATTGGGAACATGGTGAGTTATCAACATTATTCTCCAATGCTCCAGCAAACACAGGTTGTACATAGTCAGAAACTATGGAATCCCAAGTCTCCTCTCCCCCACGCAACTACTGCAGCCAGCCACAGTCCCCAGAGACCTGATCTCAGCAGGACATACACACTGCTGCACTGTTTGCAACCCAAAACACACTCGGGCAATTGTCTTTTCTGCTAGGAAATTGATACGTCCACGTTTACGCCCCGTCAACATACTACGCGTGAAAACGAACTCTTCTTGCAGCGAATTAGTATGAAACCACGTAACGGCTGTAGAGTTCGCACGTAGCTACGTAGCTAGTTTTGTATTGACAATCCGGCACTCTTGCCAGTTGTGTATACATCCTCATGAGACGGACACTGTCGCACACTCCTGGCCATACAATATTTTCCTAACTAGGAATGCGCACGTGCATATTTTTCTTCGCGCCTGCCAATGCGTAAACAGTCCGACTGAGGCCGCTCGTGCGCGCGCTCTACTGACTGCGCGCGAAGCCAGACTTCCTACGAATCTGCGCGCACGGCGGAAGCTAGACTTCCTAGCTAGGAATGACGGAAGTTACACTTCCTTTTGGTGACTAATTTACATTCCTAAGCGTGACTAATTGACGACGTACGTACGTACGCATACTATTGCGAGAATACAACCCGGAGTAGTTGCCTCACGCTAACGCGCTCGGCAACTAGCTATATAGAGAACGAGAGGCGTCATACCTGATGAGCTGTCCACAAACACTGTTACCATGAGCGCCAGCAATGCGGCCACCAACCGCCTGGTCCCTCCCTGCTGGCGCAGACGATGACCCATCTCAGGATGAGCTGCGTCTCGCTGTGGCGACTCCACCAGTGCCTGCAGATTTATGCTCCCCACGCACCTGCGCAGATCAGCGCCGCCCCGGAAATCAATTTACACTCGCCGGATATTGCGTGCGCACAGTCCCGGAAGTTACGAAAATGTTTTCACCTTTTGCCTCACATTCCTCTAGTACAGAAAGATGTGGTAATGAATCACGTGAGACGTACCCATTAGCTATCATATACTGTAGATGATATGATGCTGTGTTCAGACAATACACTGATACACAAAGTAGGAGTCTACGTAGCTGGCTATATGCATAACAAGATCAAAATTCATCGTCGTCCTCAACCTCGGTGTCTTCTTGTTGCTGGATGACAGGGAGAGCATTCGGTGGAGAAGAGGGAGGGAAGTCATCGTGGTTCCCCTTCCAGCGAAGAGACTCGGACAGTTCCAGTTGACTGGATACCTGACACAAGTCCAGGTAGCCTGAAGACCTCTCCAGGAAACTGCTGAACGTGGTCACCAGGGTTTGGAACGTTGGTCAAGACAAGGGCCTCAGACACCAACAACTCTTCATTACCTCATATCTGGAGATACATATGCAGGGTGTAGAGACTGTAGCAATTCACAATATTTGGGCACAACACGGATATAAGGTACATACAATAATAGTTGTATTATGTAATCAAGCAAGTATATATGAATAATTAACCCTCGGCGCGCATGCGCAGCGAGGGTTACGGTAGTTGGGTTTTTAACCCTCGGCGCGCATGCGCAGCGAGGGTTACAGTACTTGGGTCTGTCTGTGTGTGTGTGTGTCTGTCTGTTACTCTCAATCTAACTTCTCGGGTGTTTGTTCGTCTCACAAAGGATACGACCTACTTAACGGGCAATGAAGGTCAGAATTTTCGAACGGTTTTCTCTGAAACTGCTCCGTTGCAAAGCTAGAGCGCGAAAAAGCCAATATGCAAATACACAACGGACGGGACGGCTTACCAGGGTCTGAACGATCCGCGTGCTCTGCGTACCTCGGAGGCACCAGAAGATGCAACGCAGGGCGTGTATCGCCTCTCGCATGCTATCTAGTAGTGTGGTTAGCCCGCGTCAGACTCTGCGCGAGCTGGGAAGAGACCACGACAGCTAAAACTAAACCCAGCCCATCAATATTAGTGGTACGGCGCATGCGTTTACTTACGCGTGCGCGTCACAGTGCGCCGAGGGTTTGCACTTCAGTGCTTTTCATTAACCCTCGGCGCGCATGCGCAGCGAGGGTTACTGTAGTTGGGTTTGTCTGTCTGTCTGTCTGTCTGTCTGTTACTCGTCATCTCACTTCTCGAGTGTTCGTTCGTCTCACAAAGGATACCACCTACTGAACGGGCAATGAAGGTCAGAAAATATGTGGGGTTTTCTCTGAAACTGCTCCGTTGCAGAGCTAGAGCGCGAAAAAGCCAATATGCAAATAGGCAACGGACGGGAAGGCTTACCACGGTCTGATCGATCCGCGTGCTCTGCGTACCTCAGAGGCACCAGAAGATGCAACGCAGGGCGTGTATCGCCTCTCGCATGCTATCTAGTAGTGTAGTTAGCCCGCGACAGACTCTGCGCGAGCTGGGAAGAGACCACGAGTAACAGCTAAAACTAAACCCAGCCCATCAATTAGTGGTACGGCGCATGCGTTTACTTACGCGTGCGCGTCACAATGCGCCGAGGGTTTGCACTTCAGTGCTTTTC